TTGGATATCGGGCCTAAAATATCATATACCTACTATATGTCACCAAAATATGTTATTATATCTTGTTTCAGTAGATATTTTTGTCTTTCATATTGCTATTTAATTGCCTAGGCATTCCACAATAATCCGAGTATTCATCGTCAAACGTGAAAAATGCTACAAGATTTGGAAATGTCAAAGTAGAAATTACGGAAGTGATGCAGAAACAACACCTAGCGGGTAACTCTCGAGTTCCGAGTATTACAGAATTAAGGGAAAAGCCAGAGGTCTACGAAAAAGTTCGGGAAAATTTTGATAAAGAAGTTGAAATCGATTCATTAGAATTTAATTTTGCTGCAGATTTTCCAGATGAGTTAGGGTAGTCTTCAATATTCTTTTTTTTAAAAAATCGCTTAAACATTATAAGACATGTATCCCCCCCCCCCCTTCTACACGGACATGCTTGCAAATAATTCTGATATTACCCCCGGTATTAAGCTATATAATTATGTGAAATAATCTAATATTCTTATACAATGATTATCATTTGCCTTGGAGATTTGATTTCATGGATAAAGGATTGCTGAGTAGTTATGTACACTGTATATGATGTTTTACATTTTGTGGTGGACATGAATTTGTGGGTTTCTAAATCATACCTCAAAAACAAAGAAAATTACCCCCCCCCCCCAAAAAAAAAATTAGTGATTTCACAGCATTTGATATTAATTGACAATTATAGAATTTAATTTGAGTGGTCATGATGTTTGCTTACATTAACATCAAGTATATGTTTAAAGAAAACCACAAGGGCTTGAAGGGGCGAGTCCACTCTTGGCGAACAGGGAAATGGGGCGAAACCACTAGAAGGGAGCAGGTAATTGGGGGCAAAACCACTCGGATTCCTTAATTATCATTGCTGAATACACCCATTTATATGAATTTATTTTAAAAAGTTGTTAATGAAAAATAAATTGAATTAAACTGACTTGTGTAAAAACTAACATATTTTTTAAAAGTGTTTATAAAAATCAAATCTAGATATTTTAAATGTATAAATTACATGTACATACACACAATCATTTAAACACTATACATGTATATGACGCAAAACATCTTTGCATGAAAAGGTCGTACTCTGTTGGGGCGAGTGTTTTTAGTGCGAATCGTCAACAGGGGCGAAACTCTCCGTTACCCGAAGCAGCGGGCACCTGCACATGGTATTACCTTTCAACAGGTCTAGGCGGCCTCTGTTTTTGGAGGATAGATTTTATCCTCTGAAAATAGAGGATAGCGGTCTTGCCACCTACCGGAATTTTCAAAACTAAGGGCAGTTAACTCTTAACCAAACAAACAACAGCAACTCTTGTATTTATGAACCGTACGCTGATTTCGAAATCAGAACAAATAAAAGGTACAATTTCCTATGATGATGGATAATTCCAGATATTAAATCAATATATCTATATTTTTGTAATTGCCGTCAATCAGTTATTCGGTATACAGCTTGGAAAACAAATATTGCTTTTACCTGCCTGCGACTGGGGTTAATTATAACCACGCTGATTTTCCCGTACCGTAATTATGTGATAAGCAGTTTAGAAATTTTGATGAACAATTTTTTTTTTTTTTGAAAAATTAAGTTTAATCATGTATTATTTCTTTCATTTAATAATTCTTTAGCACATCACTTTTAATATTTTATTTGTTTATGTATACACATGGCTGTATGAATATATGTTAATTTCTTAGTAAACATGTCAAATTATTTATTTTACTTACTTATGCTATTCAAATTATCTATTAATTTTTATAATTATTCATTCAATCCATTTATACTTTTACTTGCTTAAATTATAAGGCAGAGTATATTTTGCGTTTTAAATACGCTTAAAATGCATTTCATTTTGTGTTTCCTTTTTTTGAATTAAAGGAAAATATAAAAGAAATATTAAAGTCCTCTTTTATTTGTATAAATAGAGAAAAATCATAAAAAATAAAACAAAATAACAAGAAATATTCAGTAATAATGGAGCGCAAAAAGTGCTAACTTTGAAAATAAATTGCAAAATATCTAGACATAGAATCTCAAATCGCCACATACAATCGATAGTTCAATGTTTGAACTTTTATTTGCATGTACTCTGGTGCTTGCACTTTTTGATTAAAGGTAGGCACGAGGTGTTTGAAAATTACCTGTGTTATCCTCTGAAATCGGAGGATAAACTATCCCACAATGCAACGGGGTTTCCATATATGGTAAAAATTTTGGCCGCCATATTGAATTTAGCTATCCTCCAAAAACGGAGGCCGCCCAGACCTGTTCAAATATTTCTTCGAATACCCAATAAGTGTAAGACTGCCATGTATAAAAATCATACAATAAGATAAGTACGTCGTCTTAAACTATGTTATCCATGGCTAATCAGGTTAATCAGAGTCATATAAAAACCATTTTTTTATATGTCTCTGGGTTAATTACCTGCAAAAGAAGAAGGATGCGGCAATACATTCACATCGGTGCCGATTCTAAAACATGAAAAATTAAGTCGTACGAAGAATATATTCGACTGAGCTGAAATATAATTGTTAACCCCAAGCCTTATTATTCATATCACAGTATCTTCATCTTCGGTAAAACTTGAATTATATTAAACCTGTCGAGTTGAATATAAAGGTTTTAGTTTTTTATTGTATTTTTAACATGTATATCGTATACACGAAATACAATTTATAAATATTTTTGAAGACAAGATTCTAAAAGTATTCTGAATAATAGTCATTATATGTTAATGATACAATACACAACAATTTAACCAGTAATGTAGTAAAAATATAGTGTTTAGAGTTTTATTCTACATCTTCAAATACATAAATAAATAATTTTCCCGAATTTAAGTTCGGTGCATCGAAAAGAAATACCCGGTTTTCGGGAAGGTATCTAAATAAGAAAGAAAATACATAAAGCGGTAAAATACTCACGAATCTAGATATCTACTTTACTTGGTTACTAGCAGACACTCATCTTTGGTACTTTGTGTGTGTGTGTGTGTGGGGGGGGGGTCATATTTTATTTCAGCTAGGGGTATTTTGAACTTCACGTGAAATTTAAAATATGAACGTATACCCCCCCCCCCCCCCAAATGAAAATTAAGGGTCACGGGAAACCTTTATTACATAATGAAATAGCGTTTAAATTAATTTATTTGATGATAATAGAGTAATAATTTGTTAACTATTTTTGATTTTAACTAAATGAAGTTAGGAACCAGATTTCAAAAGACTGTGGTGTGTAAATTTCGTCGCTCAAATTTATATGGATTTCTTGGCATTATACATTTTGTTAATAATGAGTAACCAAAAAAAAAAAAAAAAATGCACACTGGGTAAGCCGGTTATTGATTTCTAGATCTACGAAAAACATAAATTTATAGCTCAATTTCTACAAAAATTATATAATTATTCTTTATTGCATAATACACCCATATGGGTCAAGCAATACAATTCATGATAAGAAAAAAAAATCAAAGAACAATGCAGGCCCGTAGGAAGCAATTTCAGTTTGGGGGGGGGGGGCACAGCCAAAAATTTTCAGTTGGGGGGGGCACTATCAACTAACAAAATTCTTTGACAAGCAAAAAAAAAAAAAAAGGTCATCAGACGTTTTTATTGAGGGGGCACAAGCATATAGTACATAAGTTTTCTATAGTATTCTATATATCGGCAAAATTATAGTGGGGGGGGGGCATGCCCCCCCCCCAATAAAATGCAAAATTTCATATATCCCTCCAAAGATTAACAAACTGTACACTGTAATGATTTATACAATACAATAACATGTGTATCTATAATTAGTTTTATTCATAAACAAGCATTATAAAGAAAACAAATCTAAGTAGTTACAATCAAGAAACAAATACCAGGAGATGACATTATTCTAAATCATGGTCACGGAAAGCTGAGTAAAGTTTGTAAAGATTAACAATAGGGATCCCTATGCATTAAATAGGTCCATTATAACATTATATAAAGTACACAAAAACTATTAACACCGACCTGGCAGTAATAATAAATTTACAATGCTTACCATGTTTACACAAGATAATAATTTCTTTGGATAGAAACACAGTTCATAATTTTACAATGCATAAAAAATCAATTCGATTGTTTTCCCCCAGAATTTGAACATGCATCATGTGGAAAACCATATACATGCACAAAAGTAATAGAGTAATAATCAATAAAATAAAAAAAAAATTGCAAAAATAGTAACCTGAGGTAATTCATTAAGGGATTTCTGAATTCCAGCAATTGCATTGGCCTAGGTAAAATAAATATATTTATCTCTATAAAAGTATCAATATGACCTCCATTATCTCCCAACTTTAAAAATTCTTGGCAAGATACTTGTATGAATTACTACCATTGAATTAAACTTGGTCTAATTATTATAAATCTTATAAATTAAAACCTAATCTCATAAACAACTTCAGCAATTATCTTTGGGCTTTTAGGTATAATTATTCCTGATTAGGGAACAAATCTCCTATTACAGAGGAAAGGGGGGGGGAGGTAGAAAGAATTGTTTCATAAATTTTTAATTTGTCTCCAAAGAAGTCTTGTCAGAAATCAAATGTTTACTTCTAAATTTACAACAGATCCTTTTTTTTAACAGTTGGAGCATCTAAACCAATAAACAATATTAACATATCAAAGGATAAAGATAGAGAAAAAGTCTACAACATGTTCAAACACAAATTCAATTGCATTTTGCATTGAAATAGAAATAAGTCTTTCTTTTTAAAAAAAATTAGGCAAAGATCTAGGACTATAACTACTTATTTAAACAACACTTCACTACTATGAATTATAGTAAGCATGTCCACAAGAGAGAACGAAATATTAGTCATGATTTATATCCTGAACAGACTTACAGTGCAAAAATATATCATTGAAAAATTACATGTTAAAAAAAGACACAAAATGAATATAACAAAAAATTTTGAGCCAACTTTATTAAAAAATACTGCATGTAGCCAACATTGATAAATTTATATATGTATCGTTCATTTTATCCCATTAAAAAAATAAGTCAGTGTGCTATGTTGACATTCTTATTTAGGAATGAGTATTTTAAACAAAGGCTGCTTATTTAAGGTACCTTTTGCTGACAATGGTTTGCAGACAGTAGAAGTTACACATCGGAGCCTTGAAGGGCGCTGGAATGTCTCTAGCTTTCCCACTATGTGGATTGAAGAGAACAGCATAGAAAGTTCCGCTGCGATTTCCTAGAATAAGAACGTCTCCTTCATGCATCACAGCTCCAAAATGATCAAATTTGACAATGTTACAAACTATGGAGGCTCCTCTGTCCTCAGAATACTCCACAATCTGTCCCTCCCTAAAAACAATGATTAATTTGTCCTCAAAGTGGACAGCTCTTCCCATGATGCCTGCACATGTTTCTGGAAGGTTTCCTAGTAACCCCTTTGTTTTTATGGCAACATCAAAATACTGAATGACAGAAGCAGCTGTTCGATCTTTCAGCTTTCCCCCAAAAGTGATAATTTTTGTTCCAAACACAGCAGCAGTCATGGAAGACACAGGAACTTCTAGTTGACCTACCTCTTCATAGGTTTCTGTTTCTGGGTCAAACTTTTCAATGCTAGACAGGGTTTCATTGGTCTTGGAGGTTCCTCCTACTAAGTAGAGGTGTTTACCGACAGCTACCATGGAATGAGACCACCGCTCTATCACCATCTTCTTGCACTCAGTCCACATGTTTTGCTCTGTGTTGAAGTGAAGCATCAGGTTTTGTTCATTATAACCCCCAGATATGTAGATATCCCTGTTCAGTATACAAACTGCAAAACAGGGTCCTGGCTCTACTGGGAGTGTAGATAGTTTGAACTTACTGTTGTGTCTGAAGCTGTAGCACAGGACTTCGATCTTTTGAGGATTTGGTTCTCGACTTCTTGTTCCCACCATGCAGATCACTTCTTCTTGTCTGTATTCAGATTCTGGACAAGTATATTCATTGGGTAGGGCAGAGTTAATTTTGTCAATGGCTTCTAAGACAAGACTACGGCATCCTGAGCATTCTTCTATCTCCTCACAGTCTCTGATGTTACAAAGGTAATCCAAAGACATCTGTGTTAGGCGTAGGACCTGGAACACTTCCTTTAACCCCTTCTTCCTGGCTTTGTCCCCCCTAACCCACCGCAGCACAGCATCACAAACATCCTCCTCCTTACTCGTAAACAAATCCTTACAGCCTATGATCTGAATGAGTTCATCCTTTGTGACATGTAGGAATTCTTCACACTTGGAAACTTCTGGAAATTTCTGCTGAATGGTGTTCCAGCTGTCTTCTTGCAACTCTGGTAGTCCATGCCCGGTAGCCATTTTCCAGATCCCAATACAGTTGTTATGAGACAAGCTCTTCCTTAAAAATTCACTACAAATGGACTGAAGACCCTTGATTTGTAGCATTGATGAGCAGGAGAGCAGGTGGTAGACATTGCTGTTCTTGACTGAACTTTGTCCTGTGTATATGTACTCTAAAGCAGCCTTAAAGATCTCTTTATCCAAGTCCTTCAGGTGTACTTTTGGCAAACCACTCTCCTTAAAATCTGAAAAAATTCAAATGTTTTGAATCTTTAAATTAAGATCAGGAGTTATCAGTTATCGCAATTTTTTTTCAACATTATTACCAGAAACACACTTCAAATTATCTTCTAATGCACAGATCCAAGGAAGAAATTTAAAAAATAAATCATTAAAAAAAATTAATAAAAAATTTTTTAAAAAGTTTATAGAAATGCCTGTATGGAGAGATTTAAAAAAATAAATGAAACAGATTTTACAATTGAATCAGTTTTACCTGCAAAACTGATGAATGCCCAAAAGTAATAGTATCCTGTTATTCATAATTATTATAAGCCATTTTGAAAGTGTTATGCTTAAAGTGTAATAAAGTAAATTAAATAATTTTCTTCAACATTTTAAATATAACAGCTATGCTTGTAAACAGCCAACATGTGCATTCAATACAACTATACATTTGAAACATCAATTAATGGAAAATTGTGGCAATTTTAGAGAGAGAGAAAAAAAAGTCAGGGCATCATTAAATTGTTTTGTTTGATGTACTACACCAACCAACTTTTTTCAAAATGGGTAGGTACATATGGGTAGGAAGTTTATTTTTTAAATTTTCTAACACTTTGATAACCATCATAAGAATCATACAGTTAGAAGTTTATCACTGTTTTCGTTAAACATAGGACAGTTATAGATTTAATATTTATTACTTTAAAAACTTTCAATCTAAATGCATCTTCAGGCCCGTAGGAAGCAATTTCAGTTGGGGAGGGGGCACTAACAACTACCAAAAATTCCTTGACAAGCAAAAAAAAAAAAAAAGTCATCAGACATTTTTATTGAGGGGGCACAAGCATATAGTAGCTATGTTTTCTATAGTAAACTATATATCGGCAAAATTATTGGGGGGGGGGGGCATGCCCCCCCCTTCCTACAGCCATGATCTTAGAGAAATGGAAAACCTTAACTTTAAAAATAGAACAAAAAAATTCTATTTCCCTCAAAAAAAAAAAAAAAAAAAAAAAAAAAAAGGAAATTTAACATACTAAAAAATGATCAGGCCTGGGCCATTTTGTTGGGTCAGTTGGAGTAAATCAAACAAATTATTTGTTATTGTTGGCCTTAGCTATAGAGATATCATCTGCTTTTAATCTTGTCTTTAGATTTTAACTTCAGTATAACTACCTACTTGAGGTAAACATGGTTTTGAAGTAGTGAGACATGGAGGCTAGGATTATACGATGACATTTGAAGATTTCCCCATCCACCTCAATCTGAACGTCAGTAAACAACGAATTCTTTAGTGAATCCCTCAGTCCTTGTGACAGTTCCTCAAAGTATTGGAGCTTGTTATAGTTGCCTATCACTGCAGACAGCTCCTCTGATGTAGGCATTTTGTCTTAGTGATGAATCAACACTGAAATTATATGTACTTAATTACAGTTTCGTATATAAAATATTGATTCCAACTCTCCTATACTTAAGAATGGCAGCATGTGTTGCTTTATTCATTTTTCTAGTTCATTTCATGAGAAGGCTCTGCCTCAGCCTAGCCCAGTTTAGAGCTCGACATTAGAGGCAATTCGGAAGTAAGGGTACCTGTCAAAGGATCAAAATACATTTAAAGTCAACATTCACAAACTTTTGCTAACCGTGCTAATATTTTATTTTTCAAAAATCACCAGTGTGACATATTCTTTTTATTACAATTACTGAATTAGCAAGTTTCGAAATCTCAATGATACCCGGTGTCACGTAGACACGGACCGTGAGTCAGCACGGTCAATTTGAAGGAAATTAAGATCCTTAAGAACAAAAAAGCATTGTAGAAATACCTCTCAAGATATCAAGATCCTATAAAGAAGCAGGTTGCTAAGTAAAGGCACATTTATGTATGTACAACATGTAGTAAGCGTACTTAAAATCGGGTTTGCCAAACCCTAATTTAATTCCCGGCGCTTGAACTTTCGGTGACAAGTCGTTCCAGCAACAGGATGTTTCGTTACACATGTAGGCGAACAGGATGTTCCTAATAGTGGCTGGTGTAGGGGGGCTAAATGTTAACTGTAATATGGCCCTTTTTTTCAATTTAACATTTTTGATCACAAAGTAAAATTATTGGTTGCGTTTTGTTTATTTGTGTGTATGTGCATACATGTGTGTGTTTTTGCTTGAATCCAAAGTTATCTTTAGAGTTCGTTGCAAGTAGTTCTTGTAGAATTTCTCATCCTGAAAATTAGGGTTCAAATGAAAAGCAGAGTGAACTGAGGTAAAACAAAATTGTAATGAATTTTCATAAAATTCACAAGCACCTGGCGTTACTTAATTATTTTTTAATAAAAACCTAATAATTAGGGGTATATATATATTTTTTTAAGGAGGTTCGATCCTGAGCTTTTGAGCAGGTTTTGGCCTTGACCTTTATTTCTAAAATTCTGCATCATTTTAAAATTATATCATTAATTCTGGATTCTACAATACAAACTAAACTATATCCAATGAAAAACCGCGATTAAATTCCATTCAAGTAGGATTTAGCCGGAACTATATTTTGTGGCGGAAGGTTTTTTTTTAGAAGAAAAGGATCAGTTTATATACAGTACTGTTAAGTTTAGATTCCTATTTTTCCATGCTGGTTGCACCCAGAGCTGTTTTTTGTAGTGAAATGTTTTATGCTGGTTCTGAAATATCTATTAAATTATTTCTTATGAATTCTTTCATCATATTGTGACAAATATAGTAAATATATTCTGAAAGTCCAGGAAAAAATTGAGCCAATTTTAACTTAAAATTGACACTTTTTTAGTAATATCTAAAATTTTACATCATAGACCCCCATTTATTGTTTTCTTTTCTGAATATACAAGATAACTTTGATCAACCTGCTTAAATTCAGCAAAAGTTTAAGACTTTAAAATAATTTTCTTGCTTGTTAAATTTTTTATTGCCAGAAAAATCACATTTTGTGAGTGCAGAAAGGTCAAATAAATGGTTATGCGAAGAAATTTTAAACCTTTTCTTAGTCACAATTTTAATGTGTCTTTTTTTAAATAGATAATAGTTTATTTTGTCCCATGATTTATTTGGATAAAAACATTGGAGGGAAAACGTCGAAGATGTGATTTTTGATTAGGACACAAATTTCAGTGCAAAAAGGTCATACTGAATGTACTGTAGCGCCAAAAGAAGCATATTGACCCCCATTTTTAGTCCCCTACCGGTGAAACCGGAGGGGACTATAGGTTTCCTCTGAGTCTGTCCGTCCGTCTGTCGGTCTGTCTGTCTGTCTGTCTGTCCGTCTGTCTGTCTGTCCCTCTGTCTGTCTGTCAGTCTGTCCCACTTGGTTTTCCGCACTTTTCTTCTAAACGCTTGCAGATATTGAGCTGATTTTTGGTATGTGAGTGTATTTTGATGAGTTACAGATCAAGATTACATTTCGTTCCGCTTCAATGATTTTTGACGGAATTACGACCTTCTCAGTTTTTCAGGGTTTTCCGCGATTTTTTTCTAAACGCTTGCAGATATTGAGCTGATATTTGGTATGTGACTTTACCTTGATGTGTTATAGATCAAGTTTGCATTTCGTTCCGTTTCATTGATTTTTGACGGAATTATGGCATTTTCAATTTTTTTTCGGGAACCAGATTACACTTGCCGGTAGGGGACTAGTATTGCTAATGCAATACTCTCAGAATGCTTGTTTGTTTTGATTTTTAATTGAGCTATGTGTGTAGAAACTAAAAATATACTTGACAAAAAAAGTTTAAGACTTTAAATATCAGGATCCAACCTCGTTAATTAAAAGAAAAATAAGTACCGTCAGGTGCCTGTGGACTCATCTTATATGTGTTGTGAAATACAGTGTGCATGGCATATCATAGAATTATTTAGTTATTTTCCTTATTTTAAGTATAATGATTAATTTTCAATAAAATATATGGTGAACTTCCATAGGAACGGGGGGCACGAGGGGGGGGGGCGTGCCCCCCACTCCAGTAATTTTGCCGATACATAGAATACTGTTAAAAAAAACATATATAGCTACCACATGCTTGTGCCCCCTCAATAATAACGTCTGATGACTGTTGTTTTTTTTTTGTTTGTTTGTTTTTTTTGCTTGTCAAGAAATTTTTGGTAGTTGATAGTGCTCCCGAACTAAAAATGTATAGATGTATGGTTGTGCCCCCCTCCTCCCCAACTGAAATTGCTTCCCGCAGGCTTGGAAATATTACATAAATTTTTATTGTGTGCAAAACGGGAACACACCGGTCTCAGCTAGGTCATTTTTTGTTCGTTACTCTAAATAGAAATTTTAACATCTTAAAATCAAGGGGGTGGTTCTGCCCCCCTCCTTTCCCCAATCAGCACATGAAGATATTGTCCTGTGTATTTCACATACGTTGTAAGTTTACATTATCACTTTGTGTTAACACCATTTATTAGTCCCCTACCGGTGAAACCGGAGGGGACTATAGGTTTCCTCTGAGTCTGTCCGTCCGTTTGTCGGTCTGTCCGTCTGTCTGTCTGTCTGTCCCTCCCTCTGTCTGTCTGTCAGTCTGTCCCACTTGGTTTTCCGCACTTTTTTCCCTAAACGCTTGCAGATATTGAGCTGATTTTTGGAATGTGAGTGTATCTTGATGAGTTACAGATCAAGTTTGCATTTCGTTCCGCTTCATTGATTTTTGACGGAATTACGACCTTTTCAATTTTTAAGGGTTTTCCGCGATTTTTTTCTAAACGCTTGGAGATATTGAGCTGATTTTTGGTATGTGACTTTACCTTGATTACTTCTAGATCAAGTTTGCATTTCGTTCCGCTTCACTGATTTTTGACGGAATTATGGATTTTCATTTTTTAACGGGAACCAGATTACACTTGCCGGTAGGGGACTAGTATTGCTAATGCAATACTCTCAGAATGCTTGTTCTATTGAACTTAATAACGATTTTTATCAACCATAATTGAATTGTGTTTTAATATTGTTATATACATTTCGTTCTCGTATGAAACAAAGATCGTCTGTGATTTATATGCATATATACTGACTTTTTACAATATTTCTTTGATTGCAATTTATCATGCAGTTTGTGCAATGTTATATTAATTTTGAATGATAACCACTTTTTCAAATACAAGAATTATTATGCCTCTGTCAATGTTAATTTATGAGACTATAAGACGGTCTTATAGCATACATACATACATTTTACAGCGAGTATATGCTATCATGTTGTAAATTTTGAATTTATACTAGGTGGAGATAATTAAATGCAAAATTTACAACTTAATAATATATTGATGTTAAATGATACATAATTTCAAGACAATTAATTTTGGCCAGTTTTAATTTGCCACTTTCTTGTTTGACCAACCGTGGGGATTTTCCTTTACGTTTTCGCTCACGTTTTCGAACAGTCCATTATATATATATATATATATATATATATATATATATATATATATATATATATATATATATATATATATATATATATATATATATATATATATATCCATTTTTTAATTATCGATCAATAATGATTTCATGGAAATGAATTTACTTTTCTCCAATTCAATTTCAATTGAATTTCATTTATTTATTTCATTGAATTTTATGAATTTTAACGAGTATACGTAAATATGTTGAGAATAACTAAATCGCTTATTGCTGGTGCATGAATGAAAATAATTCCGTACAAAATTGGCTATGAAAGATTTTCAAAGCGGGGCTTGAACCACGGGCCAACAATTAGCACAAAAAAAGGAACATGACTTTAAAGCTGACTTAATATCCCATTAAGTGGGACTCCAAAATTTGCTCGCAAAATTCTGAGATGTGCAAGAATGTGTACAGGGGAGGTCAACATTTACCGCTACATTGCGAAAAATTTCAACTAATTACCGCTATACATTTCGACGAAATTTGGGGTGATCATTACCGCTACATTTTATCAATAAGACTCTTGCCGATTACAAGACATTACCGCTACATATCGAATCAGCCAGCTATGCCACTGAATATGTTCTATTCATTACTATTCGTTATAAGAGATTTCTAGACAAGGCCATTCCAATTTTTTTTTTCTATGTTTAGCGTCCGCATGCGCCTTGGTTTTTGACACCCCATATCAGAAAAAACAAACAAAATCAGACAGTATTTGTCTACAATATGTCATATTTGGAATATTGTAAGCATTTAGTACCTTGATTTTGCTGAAGAATAGATATTTCTACGAGAAAACAAGCATTCTGAGAGTATTGCATTAGCAATACTAGTCCCCTACCGGCAAGTGTAATCTGGTTCCCGTTAAAAAATGAAAATCCATAATTCCGTCAAAAATCAGTGAAGCGGAACGAAATGCAAACTTGATCTAGAAGTAATCAAGGTAAAGTCACATACCAAAAATCAGCTCAATATCTCCAAGCGTTTAGAAAAAAATCGCGGAAAACCCTTAAAAATTGAAAAGGTCGTAATTCCGTCAAAAATCAATGAAGCGGAACGAAATGCAAACTTGATCTGTAACTCATCAAAATACACCCACATTCCAAAAATCAGCTCAATATCTGCAAGCGTTTAGGGAAAAAAGTGCGGAAAACCAAGTGGGACAGACTGACAGACAGACAGAGGGAGGGACAGACGGACAGACAGACAGACAGACCGACAGACGGACGGACAGACTCAGAGGAAACCTATAGTCCCCTCCGGTTTCACCGGTAGGGGACTAAAAAGATTAATGGAATCGAAATCCTTTGAATGACACCACTTTTATGACAATAAAGACTTGTGTTTTACTTTTTGGTTTTTGTGTTTTTTTGCGAATAGCTAGGTAGGTAAGTATTTGAAAGATGGGTGGACGCTAAACATAGAAAAAACTTGGAATGGCCCAACTGTACGTCAGGCAAATGGTCTTCAAAGCTCTACCAATTATGTAAAGACTGTGTGTTTTATCCATGAACAATGCCTGGTTTTAAAACGTTCTAAAATGTTTGATTAAATAAAATAGATTTTAGATTTAAAAAAAAGGAAGAAAAAAAACCATCCTGCTTAGTCTTACTTTCACCTCCCCGTGGTGAACAGGAGAAATAGATCTTATGTATGTATATCTAAGCCGCTGGCTAACGAAAGAGGCAATAGAGCGGTAATGTATACTTTTAAATGTAGCGGTAATGTAACTTTTTTGTAGCAGTAAAGAGTATGTAGCGGTAATGACAATTTTGAAAATGTAGCGGTAATGATACGCACCCGTGTACAGGTAAACGATGTGTGACAGACCGTGATGAAACTCTCAGTTGTGCTGTTCTGTGTGGATTTATGTTTAAGTTTATTTAAGTTAAAATAAAAAAGGATTTTTTGTTCAAGCCTGTAGGCAATTTCATTGGGGGGGGGGGGGGAGGGGGACTAACCGAAATTCTTCACCCTCTCAAAAAAAGAAAGAAAGAAACATACATGTACAAAAGAAGTCGTCAGGAGGGGCATAACCGTTAATAGCTTTGTTTTTTAATGTATCTCTACTCAGTACTCGGTCCAGTGGAGTATATAGATCCTGCCTGGCAAAATTATTGGTGGCACCACCCCTCCTTTTCCCATACCCACGTGCTCGTTCGATTTTTTTTTATTAGTTTCTCAAAGAATTTTTGCTTGATAGTGCCCACCCCCCTACTGAAAATATTTGGTTGACTTGTGCCCCCAAACTGAAATTGTTATAGAACTGGGCCTGCTGTTGTTCATTCTTATCGGGTTCGGTATACATTTTAGTTTCAACCTACGACCATGTTTTTCGAAATTGTATACAACACTGTCAGATGCTATCTTCTAAATGTTCACAGAAAAGGGTTTTATTTTTCAAGAATTTGTAAGAAAAATTGTTGATGGAATTATGAGTCGACCCTCTCTACGAAGAAGCACCCGGACTCAATCGAAAGCTAAAGAGCCAAAAGATAATGATATCAAGATTATAGACCCAACTCCCTGCAGAGTAAATAATACACGTCAAGTACCTGAGGGCAGAACACAGGCGATAAGTGTTGCAAAACAGAGAAGAACCGTTACTGACAAAGAAGACATTACAAATGATGTGGTATGTGTTCATGATGAACCAGAGCAGAGTGATGACAGTTTCCAGAGTACTCTGGCCTCCGACAGAGACATTTATTTGTGTTCACAGGAGACTTCTGCAGAAGTATTGTGGGACTGTTCGTCTCCTGACATGCGAAAATATCATCGATCTAAAAAGAAAAGGGGTCAGAAGAGTAATGTTGGGGACATTGTTCAGACACTTTCTACATCAAAATGTGACAATGATTTAGAAGATGACACCAAGCCTGGGCTTCTGGGATTGTGGATGGATTCAGATATGCCTGATAACTCAAAGCCAGTGATAAATCTTTCTACATTCTCTCCTACAAGTAGTTTTCCACCTCCTCGTACCCACAAAGAGAAACGAAAGCCAACTGTCTCTTTGTCATCAGTATTAAAAGAGAAACTTTCTATGAGAATGAAAGAGGAGAAATCTCCTGTACTATCAGCAAAGTATACAAGGTCTTCTGAGAAGAGGAAGAGAGATTCTGAGTCAATGGACATAAGTGATGCAGGGGAAAGTCCATCTAAAGTTAGCAGGACTGCATCATCAGGTCCATCTAATAACGATTGTGATCAGACTGATGTATGGGAAAATTCAAGTGAAACTTCCTGGAGTGAAGATGACTTTTATGGTGATGAATCCTTCATTATAAAAGCAACACAAGTTCCAAATGAACTGAGTAAAGAAACAAAAGTAACAAAAAATACTGATTTAAATACTAAGTTGCATACTAAAACACCAGCAAAATATTTAAATCAGAAATGTGCATCAAGTCATTCCACAGAAAGTGTTTTCATCACAAAGACTGACAAACAAAATATAAAACATTGTCAGAGACAGCAGTCTGCAAAAAAAGAGACAAAAACTTCAATCCGTGAACTGAAAAGAGATAAATTTCCTGATTCAGAAAGAAAGAAATCAAGTAGAAGAAACAGTCTAGGATTTAATTCAAGTTTATCTGATGACATCCTTTGTCAGGTAGCAGAGGTTGACTGCATTTTAGACAGTCAAGTACAGAGTGAAAGAGAGGATGAAAACAAGGACCTAAAGATTCCAAAAAGTAATTTAATATCTAAGACTGGTGAGAAAAGTAACACTGCCTCAAATACTCCTGATGAAAATGATGTAAAGGGTGTTAAAGTGAGATCAGTATCAAGTACCAGTGGAGGGTATTCATTTGTACAAAAAAGGAAAACACTTTCAAATCACACAGCATTAAATAACAAAACACAGATGTCCGTAAGCAAAATGGAATTGCAGAGAAACCCACAGGATGCTGTAGCTGTAAAATTGAACTCGAGTGAGGCAACCATTGGGAAAATTCCAGATGAAAGTGCTGAATTGTTCAACTCTGATGAAGAGGACTTGCTTAGCGAACCCCAGGTGCTGGCTTTATTAGATGCTGTTGAATCACAGGCTCCCAAAGCAAACTGTTCACTATCAAACAGCCAACCAAACATGATTCAAGAGAATTCTACTCAGAGTATTTCCCCTTGTAAGAGAAAGAATGGTTCAGATATGTTCCATGTAGTTACTCCAGAAAAGTGCACTCCTGAGGAAATACAGTGCAAGAGAAATGCAGCAATTGCCAGAAAACTTTCCAATAGTCAACCAAACTCAAGCTCATGGACTGTCTCTTCACCAGAAAAAAGATTTTCACAAGAGTTAAGTCCCCATAAGTGCACCCTGGAAGAGATACAGCAGAAAAAGAATGCAGCAATTGCCAAAAGACTTTCAAGTAGTCAGCAGAGTGAATCGAAAAATCTGCAGACCAAAGATGGAGTCACAAATTTATGTCTTTCACCCAACAAGGACAGAATGGCAGAAGTTCCGTCATTAACTAGTACTCTGCGCAAGTGTAGTCCTGAGGAGATTCAAAAGAAAAGGAATGAGGCACTTGCTAAAAGACAGAAAAAGTGTTCTGGAAATACATCAAACAATGTTAGTGTGCCAGTGCTTTCAAACTTTCAGGATATATGTAAGAAGGATCCTGTTGGACAACCAATTTCTCTGCCAGAGACTCCTGTTTGTAGTGGTTTCAAAAAAGAGGCACCTGATAGAAATGTTCCTTCTGATTCACAGTTGAGTAGTTCAGTACAGAAGGACATTGAAAAAAAGAGGCTTGAAGCCCTAAAGAGACGAGAATTAAAACTGAAAGCTTCACAGATTTGTAAATCTTCTACATAGATACAGAGAAAAGTAAATCAGTCTTAGACCAGATTTTATTTCCTGTGATTATGTATAAAGCTTATATAAAATGATTTAAATCTTCAGTATGTCTCATTTCTTGATGTCAAGAATCATACTTACAATCATACTTTGATGATTGTTGCAGAGTATTACAGTGCCTCTGTGTGAGAAGTGTCACAATGCTTATCAGTATTTCAGTTTCTCCTTTCACACTGGCAAGTCACAGTCAGCCTTATGATTAGCATCATGCAGACTGATTGTCAGATAAGTCAACTGATTGACTTATTACAATTTCATTGACTGTTTTGGAAAAACAATGAGGTTTGCTGTGAAGTAGTATTTTGGACGAAAATTTGCATTAGCTTATGAAAAGTTGAGTAAAATTCAGTGAGTTTAATTGGTTCATTGTCTACAATAAAAAGGTCAGTCTCATGTTGTGTCAGTGACACAAAAAGTACAAACAATTTGTTAAAGCAATATGAGCTGCAATTTTGGTAATTTTATTTAGCTGTTAAAATGTGTTATGATAAATTTGTATGTAAGTTAAACCTTTGTGATCAATTAGACAGAAATAAAGTATCAAAAAGTTTCAGAATAAAAGATTCTGTACAATCAAATATATATAGTGTTATATAAGAAATCAATATAATTTTGCAACAAAAATTTCTGACATCAAAGTTGCAGCTCATATTGCTTTAAAAATGTGCTATATTCATGCAGTCTCAGTTTCATACAAGGTACAGCATGAAGTACAAGATATGTACATGTATTACATTTAGAAACATAATAGAAACGCTAAATGGAGAAAAAATTTGGAATGGCCTTACTGCACAGAATACACATGAGCTGAAATTAATGAACAATGGATTAAAGGAAGTATTACATAAAATGCCTATTTACTGTATTCTTTATTCAATCCAGAGGAATCATGCAACTCTCTGAATGAGAGTAAAAATGAATAATCACTTACAGTTTCAGTTTCTTTACAGTGAAGAGCATGTCCAACACTTCAACAACAAAAGGAGACCCCCCCCCCTCCCAATGTTAATCACTCATATTACTTTGTATTTCAAAACTCAGACACTGTCACACTGCTTACAACACTTCCAGAAACTTGATCTGGCTCTAAATTAACGTTTTTTCTTACTTGTCTATTCGGACACTGCATGTTTACAATATTTACTTAGAAATGGAGAATGATATAATCAAGAGCCTAGTGATTCAAGAAAAAAGTTTTCAGTGATTCAAGAAAAGAGGTTTTCATTTTGTGAACTTGCATATGTTGAAGCTACATGTAGATGCTTTATAGAGATTAAATTGATATAAATGTAGTTTTTTGAAATTTTTTTATAACGTACAGGCACCTGTTTGATTATAACAAAGTGAAGCAAAATATGATTTATGATTATTATGTTTTCTTTTACCCATCAAACAATTGACACACACACACTCATATAAGTATATATATTATTTTGAATTCCACCCAAGTGGAATTTAAAACAAATCCCTACACCACCGAAGACATGCTTAAAAGTTAAAAAAAACCAACTATTTAAAATTCAACAAAGAAATTTAAAGATTTAAAGCAAACTTGGGTTCCAGTATAGAACTTGAAAACTCTTAGTTGCTCAACTGGTCACGGAAGTTACCGGAAAATAATTGTATTTTCTAGTGTGGGTACGAATTGACTTGATACCTACCATGTTTGGATGAAACTACTTTTACACTACCCTTGACACACGTCAACTTCCGGTCAACATGGCAAGTCAACAACAACGAGACGCTTGTTTGATATGTTTGTTTGATGTAGACGGAACATTGACTGCTCCACGACAGGTATGTAATACTTTGCAAGTCTATGCCATGACAAAAATTTCTTCAATAAGGTTTGATCTATTTTCGATGGATTTAGCCACTTTTCGGTTACCTTTAACACATAGGGCAGAGGAAATTCAAGTTATTTTAATATTTCATTATACATAAGACAGCTTGTTATTGAGAATAAAACCTCAGGCATCTGAAATTTCAAGATTTTAAGACCAACACTATTAGTTATCATATGTATTTTTTATCTTCCTTGCTGAAGAATGTTGAAATCTGAAAGCAATTATACAAATTATTGCATCATTCATATCATAATGAGTAGAAATAAGTTACTAACTTAATTTGATAGTGGTTTCACCGTTTGGGTTATATAAACATGAATGTTGGCCTAGGAAGCTAATTGTTTTGAGCACCTGACTAATAATGCAGGGATTCTAGGTTCGATTCCCTGTCCAGGATTTGACATTAACTTTTACAAGTACTATACCAGTTGGGCTACTTCCCATTATTTTTACTACCCCGACCGTAAAACCACTAGCCCTGACCAAACAGGCAAGTTCATTTCTTGTAATTGCATTTTACCAAAGAACACAGTCAATTGTTTTGTTATACCTTTTACTTTTTAGCTCACCTGAGCTGAAGGCTCAAGTGAGCTTTTCTGATAACATTTTGTCTGTAGTCCGTCTCTGTCCGTCTGTAAACTTATCACATTTTCAACTTCTTCTCCAGAACCACAGGGTCAATTTCAACCAAACTTGCCACAAAACATCCTTGGGTGAAGGGGATTCATGTTTGTTCAAAAGAAGGGCCACACCTTCATTCAAGGGGAGATAAATCAGAAATGGTGAAAATTTGGTGGCATATTTGAAAAATCTTCTTTCGAGAACCACTGGCCTAAAAAAGTAGAAACTTATAGGAAGCCTTTGTTACATACAGATAATGTAAATTCAAATTTGTTGAAAGCATGACCCCTGGGGGTAGGGTGGGGCCACAATGGGGGATCAAAGTTTTACATAGGAATATATAGGAAAAAATCTTTAAAAATCTTCTTCTCAAGAACAGCAAAACCTTGTTTAGTCATATTGATATGTATTATGTAAGCATCCTCAGTTAGTATAGATTCAAGTTTGTTCAAATCATGACCCCTGGGGTTAGGGTGGGGCCACAGTGGGGGATCAAAGTTTTACATATATGTAGGAATGTATAGGAAAAAACTTTAAAAATCTTCTTCTCAAGAACAGCAAAGCCATGTTTAGTCATATTTATATGTAAGCATCCTCAGGTAGTATAGATTTAAGTTTGTTCAAATCAAGACCCCAGGGGGTAGAGTGGGGCCACAAGGGGGGGGGGGAATAGGAATAGGAATACAGTGGAGCCTCATTTATCCCATCTTTGCTAGCCGAGGGTTTCTGATACGCTACTCTCCTCATAAACCCTTGGCATACGGTGCTGACAAAAGACGGGATTGTTTTTGTCACGTGATCATGATTCTTACCAGGTACGCACAGATTGCGTCATTGACAGAAATAAAAAGCGTATTTTAAAAAATTTTGTTTTTAAAGAATAATTAACAAGAGGGTATTGAGTTATGTTAATTTGTTATTTAAGCATGTAAAAATGCAAATCTACATCTTCAGTACAGATTCTTAATCACATATTTTGCACGTAGCTTTAGATATTGGATGACACCATATAGCTATTCATAGAATAGCATGTTATCTTACGAATCATTGTTTACTTGCGTTTTACATTACCGATATTAAAGAGTTAAGATATATCCCGAACGCAAACGTCGTCATTTACAAAAAACAATTGCTGATTGGTCGAACGATGTCGATCAACTCCAATCACAACTTGAGAAAAAAATCCCAGCTTTTTTTAAATACCGTATGCCAAGGGCTTATGAGGAGAGCAGTGTATCAGAAACCCTTGGCTAGCGAAGATGCATTTATCCGGACGCTTTGGTTTCCAGTCAAATCGTCCGGATATGTGAAGCGTCCGGATACCTGAATTGCATTGATTTTAGTTATATGACCTTTCATACCATTGGCAATAGTAAATTTGTTTTATTGTTTAAATACTTTAATATACATTAGTAGTCAGTACTTGTTTAAATAAAATAAAAAAGTACATTGTCATTGGATGAAACATTGTTTATATGAAAGCAATAATTATTTCTACTTCCCAGTGTCTATGAATCAACTTCTCCTAGCCAAGTGTCTGTAGGGCTGGTAGAGAAAAAAACTGTTGGTAGAGTCTTATTTAATATGAACACCCATCAATGCTATATATCATTAAATGTGAAATTAACTTCACATGTGTACGTATGCTAATCATAATCATCCCAAGCAAGATCGTATTAATTAACGATCATGTAATAATGAAAGTGATTTTATAAATGTCATCAAATCACAGAATCTGTTTTGCGTACAAAATACTGTACATAAAAAAAACCTCCGATGTCATGTCTATACGTAGCAATACATAAAACCATGTTACGACTGTATTCTAACAGTATAAGAAATATATTTGCCTTCTACAAAAAATTATAGACTTATAAAATTATTTTCCTTAATTAATACGTATCAAATACATGTTAGAGAAGCAGTAGTCTTGTGCGTACCTATTGACCTATAATTAAACTTGCTGCAAGCCATTGATAACAGGTCGAAGGTGTTCGTCTTTTAAAACAAACAGCCAGGCCAGTGTTTTTACAACAATTAATAACCTGATAAAAGAAATTTTAGCAGAGGTGACAGACCAATTAAAAAAATACCGTCCAGATAAATGAACCAAAATATAATGTAAAAATTCATTTTTTGGTGAAAAAAGATTGTCCGGATACGGAACGCGGAATTCCGCATAAACGAGACAAAATTACATTAAAAAATTTTGTTCCCATGGAAAATCGTCTGGAAACTGAAGCGTCTGGATATCTGGCATCCGGATATCTGAAGGTCCACTGTATATAGGAAAAATCTTTAAAAATCTTTTTCTCAAGAAACACTGGGCCAGGAAATAGGGGTGAAACGGTTCACTGCGGTATCGATTCACCGCGGTATTTTTTCTCGGTTTGATACACGGTGCAAAATCTCTAATTTTCGGTTCGGTTCATTTTTCGGTCGGGATCGTTATTCAGTCGGGTTTGGTAAAAGGAAAAACACGTTACTCAGTATCAATAAGTATAGAAAACGTAAATTTTTGATGACTGATAGCTTGTAAAATAATTTTTGACAGTCAAATAATTTTAATCAATTTCTGCTAGTCAATTTGCAAATAAAATTCGTAAAATATGTGACTAGATTTAGAAAAAGAAAGCATAAAACAACGTTGAATTTGTTTCCTTCTATCAAAATGTATCGTATTGAAAATAACCGAACCGAGACAATATTATACAATACGTATCGAACCGTAAAGGAGGTGTATCGTTTCACCCCAACCAGGAAAGATGAAACTCACGTGGAATCATCCTCAAGTAGTGTAGATTCAAGTTTATTAAAAAGATGACCCCCGGGGGTAGGGTGGGGCCACAATGGATGATCAAAGTTTTACATAGGAATATGTAGGTAAAATCTTCTCAAGAACAGCAAAGCATGATTGGTTATTAACTATTTGGAAGTATCGTAAGGTAGTGTAGATTCATGTTTGATAAAAATCATGACCCCCTGGGGATAGGGGGGCCACAATTGATGATTAAAGTTATGCATAGGAATACATAGGAAAGTTTTAAAAAAAATCTTCTTCTCAAGAACAGCAAAGCTATGATTGGTCATATTTATATGGAAGCATCCTCAGATAGTGTAGATTCAGATTTGTTCAAATCATGACCCCCTGGATAGGATGGGACCATAATGAAAGTTCAAACTTGTAGGGAAAAAAGTCACAGTCAAAGAAATATGGAAGCATCTTTAGTTAACTGATTTTTGCTTTTTTTCCCTAGCCACAGTGGTCAGGTGAGCAATGTGGCCCATGAGCCTTTTGTTACAATATTGTTGTTCATGGGTAAGCACAATACCACAAATATTGAACCTCCACAAAATGTAATGATTCCATGGTACATGTATCTGGTTTGTATTGTCCATGCTTTGTGAATCAATGATCTTAATACATGTACATGTACCTGTTTTGAATCATTTACTCAATCTCCTACACTGGAAAATTTTACACTTCAGTATTATCAGCACTGGTAAAAGGTATCAATCTTATTAAGCTCAGAGTTTCTTACTTTAAAATTTTCTACTTTATTTCAGGCAGCTACACAAGAAATGTTAGAATTCTTAAAAAGACTAAAACAAAAGTGTTATGTAGGCCTGGTGGGAGGTTCTGATTTATCTAAGATAGCTGAACAAATAGGAAGTAACGGTAAGGAGATTCATGTATGATTAAATTCTGCAAGATGAAAGTTATAACATACTGAATTGTAGTGTTGGAAAGGAAAGATAAATATTTATTTGTATAGCAAAAATCATCTGTATTTACAATGTTTCCACTATAAATGGATTGTAATTGTTAAAAAATTGAAATTGCGGATTTCAATTTCACTTCAATGGAAATATATATATTATGTAATATATATTATGCATGAATTCTAAATAATTCTTCTGAAAGGGTTCTCATTTCTGGATTGATCTCTGATTGATCTCTGTTTTACAGTTGCAAAGGAATATGATTTTTTGTTTGCTGAGAATGGATTAGTTGCTTTTCAAGATGGCAAACAAGTAGGACAGGAGGTGAGACTATAAACTTTATACACGCACAATTTATCAAAATGTACCTTGATGTAAACTCCTGGAAAGAGGTAACATTGAATTATAATTATGCAGAAGTGCTAAGTAATTTAAGAATGGGGAAAAAACCCATCATTTTTTATGCTAATTAAATTAATTCTTGTAATTACTTACCAAGATTGTCAATGGAAAGAAAAAAAAAAGTATTTTTTAATGAATGTGATTTTGTCTTTTTTATGTGTCAATATCAATCATTTGACTATCTTTTCTCTAACATTGCTTTTTATTAATCGATTTAAAAAAAAAAATTACAGAGTAACATTTTGGTTTTTACTCAATTTAGGATTTCAAAGAATTATGATTTTTTTGGTAATTTTTAATCATTAATTTTACCTCCAGAACCTTCTTCACAACAAAGGAGAGGAGTGTCTACAAAAAGTGATCAATTTTGCTCTGAAATACATGTCTGAATTAGAGTTACCTGCCAAAAGGTAAACACAAGCAACACATTCAGAGTTACATGTATTATAGATACATGTATTATGCACTTGAATTGTTGGTTGGTTGATTTTGTTTTTTTTAAATTGTGTGTGGGTGGGATGTGGGGTGGATGGGTTGCAGTTTTTAAAAGGTTACGTATATATATGGCTTAAATTTCTTCAAAGTGAATCATTTAAGGCATGAGTGATCTCCCTTAAAATCATGCTTTTACTGGAAGTTGAAAATGAAATTTTTTTGTGTGTCAAGATCAATGAATTAAAGGAAGTAGTTATATAAAATGCCTAATTACTGTATTCTTTATTCCATTCAGAGGAACCTTTGTTGAGTTTAGAAGCAGTATGTTAAATCTTTGTCCAGTCGGCAGAAGCTGTTCGCAGAAGGAAAGAGATGAATTTTCTGAATTTGACAAGGTATGAGTTAGTTTTCTTAGTTGTCATGACAACTCTACATGTACTTTGACATCATTCATGACTCATGGTGATGACTTAATACAACTGCTTTTGATAGTAAAACCAATTGAAGGTAACATATATTCTGTTTAAATCCCAACTATCGGGCCCCTCTTTTGTGTATCAACAGGGCTCGACATTATTGCTTGTCCGGTACCAGGGAAAATTTTTGATGGACAAGTGAATATTGTATGGCACTTGTCCAATTGGAGAAGTAATTTTTCTGTAAAGAATTTCTTTTTAAAAAGTTGAAAATGGAAAACTAAAAGATGTGATCAAATTTTTTTTCTTGTTCAAGTATGTTATATATAACATATATGTTACATGTATTTTCTGTTATTTTTAATTTCGCATTAACTGCACATATAGAGCAGGATGATACAATTTTATTTCATTATTTGCTATATGTGTCAAAAATCATAAAATGGACTTAATGAATATATCACAGACTTTTTAGGTCACCTGAGTCACTCAGGTGACCTATTGCTATCCGTTCTCGTCCGTCGGCGTGCGTCGTGCGTTAACATTTGAACATTTTTAGCTTCTTCTCTGAAACCGCTTAACCAATTTCAACCAAATTTGGCATATAGCATCTATGGGTGAAGGGGAACAAAAATTGTGAATTTCATGGTCCCTGTCCCCCTGGGGCCTGAGGGGTGGGGCTAAAACCACCAAAAATAATGCAATCTTTAAAAATCTTCTTCTTTACTCCTGGACATCAAGCAGTCAAACTGTTGGCATCATTGTAATAAGCATTGAGCCCTCTACCAAAATTGTGAAATTCATGGCCCCAGGGTCAGGGGTTCTGGCCCCAGGGTGGGGCTATATAGATCATATAGTGAAAGTGCATTATTTCTTTGAAAATCTTCTTCTCTGCTCCTGGGTATTAAATAAGGTAATTAAGTACATAGTTATGAAGAGCAACAGTGCCTCTTCCAAAATTGTGAATTTCATGGCCCCAGGGTCAGGGGTTCTGGTGTTAGGGCGGGGCTCTATAGATTATATAGTGAAAATGCATTAATTCTTTGAAAATCTTCTTCTCTGCTCCTGGGTATTAAATAAAGTAACTAAGTACATAGTTATGATGAGCAAGAGAGCCTCTTCCAAAATTGTGAAATTCATGGCCCCAGGGTCAGGGGTTCTGGCCCCAGGGTGGGGCTATATAGATCATATAGTGAAAGTGCATTATTTCTTTGAAAATCTTCTTCTCTGCTCCTGGGTATTAAATTAAGTAACTAAGTACATAGTTATGATGAGCAAGAGAGCCTCTTCCAAAATTGTGAAATTCATGGCCCCTGGGTCAGGGGTTCTGGTGTTAGGGCAGGCCTCTATTGATTATATAGTGAAAATGCATTAATTCTTTGAAAATATTCTTCTCTGCTCCTGGGTATTATTTAAACAAACTAAGTGCATGGTTATGATGCATAAGGATGCCTTTTCAAAATTGTGAAATTCATGGCCCCAGGGTCAGGGGTTCCGGTGTTAGGGCGGGGCTCTATTGATTATATAGTGAAAATGCATTGATTCTATGAAAATCTTCTTCTTTGCTACTGGAGATTATTTAAACAAACTAAGTGCATGATTATGATAGGCAAGGATGCCTCTTCCAAAATTTTTAAATACATGGCCTCAGTTTTTGGGGTTCTTGAGGAGGGGGGGGGGGGGAGGGGGGCTCTATTGATTATATAGTGAAAATGCATTAATTCTATTAATTAATCATTAACTAATCCTGTATGCTCCCTAGTGTTGAGCTGATAAATAAATTGCTTAGCTATGATGAAGATGGGAGCTTCGAACAGAATTTTTAAATCTTGTGGTCCTAGGGTCAGGGGTTCTGGCATAACGAGGAAGGGGGGGGGGCTTTTAATAATATAGTAGAAAAGTGTTAATTCTTTGAAGTCCATAGTTATGATGATGAGGGTAACTCTTCCAAATTTGTAAATTTCTTGACCTTTGGTCTTGGGTTCTGGTGTTAGGGTAAGGCTTTGTTGAATCTGTAGTGAAAATGCATTGTACCTGTGAAATTCTTCTCTGCTTCTGGGCATATCGAAAGCAAACTGAGTAAAAGTTTAAATGATATAAGTAAGCATATTTCTACCAGATTTTTGAACATCTGGACAATTCGTCTAAGCATTCTGGTCCTGGGCAGGGGTCTATTAATTTGTATTCTACTGAGAGAAGTTATTCCCCTTTTCCATTCATCTTTGATAATTAATCATTGTAAATAATGTTTTTGAAAGGTTAATAGAATAAGATAATTATGCAAGAATGTTTATTGTATAATTCAAAAAGTACTTTCTTAGTTTTAATAATCAGGTAGACCTGTAAGTAATAGATAAATAAAAACGAGACAAAAATAACTGATCTTATTAAAAGTTCTTCAAAGACCATAAGAGAGGTCAATGCTAGAGGTCTTAATATGGGTTTAAAAATAGTACAGAAGCACTAATAGTTTGTTAATAGTCTGCATGGTGATAATATTAAGTGGGGGACAGATTAGAACTTAAGTTATGAGTTGATACTGAATACTAGACTAATTATTTTGTTGATTCTGATCTTCCTACTTCTCTTGCTTTAGGGCAACAAAGCTTCATCTGTCAGTGTATTTTACTTCTAAATTGTTGTATTATACTCAGGTGACCGTTAAGGACCTTGGGCCTCTTGTTTTTATTTACAATAATTTTTTAGGTTGTCAAATAGTTCTTTATTGAAAAATTTTCAGACAAGTAAAAATTTTGTTCGGACAAGTAAATTTCATAGTCACTTTTCCGAATAGATGAGTAAGAAAAAATGTTAATTTAGAGCCAGATCAAGTTTCTGGAAGTGTTGTATGCAGTGTGACAATGTCTGAATTTTGAAATAGAGTAATTTGAGTGATGAAAATTTTTTTTTGGGGGGGGGGGGGGGGGAGGAGGTGGTCTTGCGTGCGCTGGCGAGTTGGTCTTCTTTTGTCGTTGAAGTGTTGGACATGGACTTCACTCCAAAGAAAGTGAACTTGCATATTCATTTTTACTCTTGTTCAGAGAGTTGATTCCTATGGATTGAATAAAGAATACAGTAAATAGGCATTTTATACAACTCCCTCTTTTAATTCATTGTTCATTAATTTTGTCTCATGTGTTCTGTGCAGTAATGGACAAGTAAGAGAAAATGTTAATGTAGAGCCAGATCAAGTTTCTGGAAATGTTTTATGCATGCAGTGTCTGAGTTTTGAAATATAGAGTAGTTTGACTGGTGAGGTGAACATTTTTTAGGGGGGAGGGGGTGGGTGGGTTTCCTTTTGTTGTTGAAATGTTGGACATGGTCTTCACTGAATGGAAAAGTAAGAACCAGAGGCCCATGGGCTACAACGCTTATTTGAATCAATATGGTCCTCAGGGTTCGACACTAACGGTGGACCGGCGGCCCGAGTCCACCAAAAAATTGGAAGGTCCACCAAATGTTCTGGACGTCAGTCCACTTGAAATTTAAACACCGTAATGAAAAATACACAGTAAAATTCCATTTTTTCTATAAATCGACATCCGTAAATCAAACGATTAATCATCCATACTTGTATGTTCTCGCAAGAACATTCAACAAGGACTTTGAAAAAGAAGCATGTAAAATTCGTGCCCAATTAGTCAGTCTGTCCTTTGTTTATTTAATGCACAGAAGGTGTGAAAATGTACACTGGGTAACAGGAAATCACTTCACGCCTGAACGCACACTGATGGCCAGGTTTGGAGATAATTAGAATTGACAGCTGCATTTATGCATTCTTTCTTTATTTTTTTTTAGATCTTCAAACAGGCATGATTTTATATTTTATGAAAACACATTATCTGCAGTTTCTTTTTTTCTGCTATACATTCAATCACAAAAAAGAATCAAATGATTGCAGTTTATTTGAATAAATAATAATTTAAAAAATAATAAATAAATACATATACTTTTGTCGTTTTGCATCGTAGTAAATAAATTGTTTTAGCCATAGATATATGAAAAATTCACATGTTTACATGTACAACTTAATTATTGGGAATTTAAATTCTGTCTACCACTGGAAGCAAAATAAGTGTTGGTTTTTACCATTGTAAATAAATGATATTATAAAAATAACAAATTGTTTGAAGATATAGATTGTGTTTTGTTTTAAAATATTGAAAATATATTAAAGAATATTGCTGAAAAACTCATGATTGTTTCAGTTGACTGATTAAACATATACTTTACTAGTCTGACTGGACTGGGTACATAAGTTAGTTTCAAGCCTTGTGTAATGAATTCAAACATTTATGAAGGTCCACCAGAATTTGAGAAGGTCCACCAATAATTTTTGACAAGTGGACCTGCGGTCCATCAAGGTAAAAAAGTTAAGTGTTGAACCCTGGTCCTGCCATTCTTCATCAGCATATCCCCCCATATATTACTATGTAAAACTTTGAATTCCCCAGGTGTCATTTCCTTAGGTGAGCAGTGTCCCCTAGGCCTCTAGTTGTTGAAGTGTTGTACATGGTCTTCAGTGTACTGAAACTGAACTTGCATGTTCATGATGTTTATTTTTACTCTCTGATAAATTTTATCTCGTGTGTGTTCTGTGCATTAATATTTTCTCATTCATCAATACTTTCTTTATCAAAAACAATAAGTGAACTGTAAATATTTTCTTCACAGAAAAATAACATAAGGAAGAAGTTTGTAGAGGCATTGTACCAGAACTTTCCTGATGCTGGCCTGAAGTTTGCGATTGGTGGTCAGATCAGTATTGATGTGTTTCCAGTTGGCTGGGACAAAACATTCTGCTTACAGTTTTTGGAGAAGGCTGGCTTCAAGACAATCCATTTCTTTGGAGACAAAACAAATCCAGTCAGTGTAACACTAATATTGACATATCTAGCAAAAGTTTATACAATTTTCTTCTGTCCATTTTTTTTATTGCAAATTTGCATGTACTAAATACTGTTACATTTTTTTATTGGCATTCAATTTATTAATCAAATTACTGCAAGATACAAATAACTTTAAGTACATGAATGTTTATAGGCAAAGTCAACAATAAAATCATTAATACAGAACTTAATGCTATAAAGATTAGAATATGTATTGTAGGGTGGAAATGACCATGAGATTTACGAAGACTCCAGGACAATTGGACATTCTGTGACCAGTCCCCAGGACACGATTAAACAAGTTTTAGAGGTCATCCCAGGTTTATAATGATGGCTGCATTTAGACAATTTTAAAATTTATAATAGAAGATGTCTGAAATCCTTTATCCTCTCTAACCAAGAACTCTTTGGAGGTCGATGAAATAACAAGACTTGTGCAATATTTGTACAGTTTTAATCTAGCAGCTGTTTGAACTGGTAATGCAGAACATAGGAGGGTTTTATATTTAAATGTGGTTTTATGGTGTTATCAAATTTTCTGTTCATTCCAACAAGATGTATAGTGTAAATTCTAGCATTTACATCCTATCCTGATATTAGCGTATACTGTAAATCACTTTTTATTCATGAGGAGCTTTTTTTTTGCATAATTACACATGCAAAATTTTATTCTTGCATGTATATTGTTTAGTATTATATACAATAATGACCAGAATTCGTGAAAATTTTGTCTCGCTATATAAATACATGTACCAGATTGCTATATCGCGAAGATAAGATGTCACAAAAATTTTGTGATCTACAGTATTTTAAAAATTAACACATACTTTCATATTCAACTGTTATTACATTACATGTTAGCTTTTCATTTATACAGGGTTCAACATTGAATCTCGTATGCATCAAATTTCTATGGGTTTATATATTTACATATTTTATATATTTTTTTTTTCCTAAATGATATGTCAAAAGGACAAGAAATTTTTAATAAACATATTTAAATATCTACTTTGCATTCTTATTTACCTGAGAATTAAAAAAAATGAGGCCCATGGGTCACAGTGCTCACTTAAGTCACATGACCATCTTTCCCTCTGATAATGAATAATTATGTGATACAACCCCTTCTACTGAAGATTTTTAATTACCCCACACTATTTCTTAGAGTTTTGTGAGCAAGCTAACAAAACAATACCCTCAATGCAATTTTTTTAATTTGTTGCAACCAATGTTTCGAATGGATCAAACACATTTTTACACCTTTTCTGCAACCTTTGTCATAAATGACCTTTGGTCAAGGTCATGACACACCCTCAGGTTTAAAGACATTCTGTGTGCCAAGTATGAGGCCCAATGTTTCTCTGTTAGAGAGTTGTGGATTATACATTTTTTTCTTCCAGTGACCTCAATGTTTTTAAAATGACATTGGATCAAGTATGAACTTCCAGTATTTCTCTATTACAAGGTATGGCCAGGTCAAGGAAGAGTCATTTATTTACAAGTGACTGAACTTTTAGAAATGATCCTAAGCCTAGATCAAAGTTATGCAGTCACCAATTGTTTAAATGATAATGCATTTTTCAACTTAAACTGAGCAGTTTCAATTTTTCAAAATTTTACAAGGCCAAAAAAGGCCCTAAGTGAACCTTGTTCTTTGAATCCCTTTCACTCAAAGGTGTTTGGTATTATGTTGAATACTCATTGGTTTCATTATATAAACAACAACTTTTCTTAGTGTAACTAATGATCAATTTGATAAGAGAATGCATGTGCATGAATTCTTTTCATCATTATGCAATTATCATCTACATTGCACAATTGGCACTCAATCATTTCACAATCAGAGTAAAAATTTTGGTCAATGAAGCAATATAGTAGAAGCTTAATCAAAATTTACAAAGCTTTCACTTTAACAAATTGAATACCTGACCAAGTCTTGTATCAAATTAACAATCAAAAAGATGTAAAAGTTATTTCCTCCATTAAGTTAAACATTAAGGAAATGTAGCTACTGTCATCAGCATTAATAGAATATACACACTCAAAAATCTTTTAAGCTACCAAGATAATATGCTCAGTTGCAGCAATGTATGCATCCCAGTGAACCTCCACCCATAGGGGATAAAGATGCTAATGGGAATAGCCTGCTCTACAAATTTAACCAGGCCACTACTGGTAATATCAATGGAATAAATGTCACAGGGCCAGTCAGTATATAAAGTGCAACTGTTGCATTTTGTAAAAATGTACACAAAGTCTCAATGGAAGAGACCTGCATGCTCAATTGCTTATGTGTAAAATATAGATCAGAAAGCATCATAACTGGTACCTAGATATATCCCCGCAAGTTTGTTTCTATTAGGACCTATCATAACTTTGGAAATTGACCTGCTACAGAAAGTTTAGTCTAGGATGTCAGCACTTGGAATATATCAGAAGCTAACTATTCTGAGGTGAACTAAAGGTTTTCTCATCTTTCTCTGCTAAATAATATAGAATTAATTTACTTGATGTACTATTATCATTTTTTCATAACTGATGTTTATACTTTATGATAGACTTTGAATTTCACTCGTAGGTGAGAGAGTATTTCTCAAAATTAATATAACTGAATATTTAACTTTCACAGATGGAATTGAACCATACAAAAGAAATATATCTAAAGTCAAATAACCAAAGATCTCAGCTTAAGGAACATAGAATTGGGGGGGGGGGGGGGGCTTTTTTTCCAAAGGTAACCTTTTACTGTTGAAAATGTTCATTGAAAAGGTTGATGCCCCCTCCATTTTTTGTTGCAGTTTTAGTCAATGCATCCCATGGTAATATTATTCATAAAATTTGTATATGGAAAAAGTTGGACCCCCCAGGAATTTTTTGAGTTTAGGACAACTTACAACCCCACTCCCCATCCCCCTCTTGGGTTTGTCTCAGATTTTTCAGGTAAGTTGTCAAATATTGAATTGGATCCCCCCGAGTTTCATAAGCTGTTGCCATGCTTACGTGGAAAAAGGCACATAAAAAATTAACACAAACACAATTAGCTGCTGGTAAATTTATTCTATCACAACAGGTGTACTTGTATCATATTGCCAACTGGCCAAAATAAAAGACATTTATCAAAAGCTCAAGGGTCTTCATAGGAGACCAGTTTTTTTCTTTGAGTTTGTAGGTAGGAAACTAGTAACTACAAATGTTGCATGTATCTCTGTAATCCCTCCAGTTACACCTAATTTAGAAGAATCATTTTAATACCAGATTAATGTTAAAAAAGTTCTCTTTATTAAACCTCTCTTGAAATTTTACAGTATCACAGTAAACAAACCAAAGTACTTAACTGTATGCTACGGTCTGGAATACCGTACTAAAAATTTGATTGCAGTCTGAATAAATGCATTTACTAATACATGTATCAGCAATCACCATTTTTCAAATAATACTTAAATTTTAATGAAACACTATCTATATAAAAATGTATCTTATGGAGTTTTTCCTGTAGGAGTAGTTTCCCTTTACTTTCGATATCCTGGCCATGAGATATGGTAACCAGGGGCTCTACCAATCAAAACTGAAAATTCCTATGGAGATTCTTTTTGATGGAGAGCATCATCTGGTGTTAGGAACTTGGCATGTTCCGTATCTCCATTTTCTTTCCTTCCATACTGCTTCTCAACAGCAAGCAAGTCATCTTGTGAAAATTTGAGAGCTGGGTTGATTTTTCCATTCACCTCTGTAGGAGTCACAGCGGTCAGTTCCGACATTTTACTGGATGCTAGCGCTATACTCTCTTCCGGAAAATTAACAATGCACATAAATACATCATATTTAGGGGGGATCATTCCTCGTTCAAACATGTATTTTGCAGGGTAGGAGATGAGGATTATGGATGCAAAGGACAGAAGCATACAGAAGGTTTTATATGGAAACAGCTGTGTCCCACTGGCCTCATCGTACCAGGGGTACTTTATGACAGCTGGAATTTTCATGCTGCTTTCTCCTCCCATTAAGCGGAAGAACCAGCCAATAATGAACCCTCCTAAAGATCCGTAGGTGTTGGTGCCTTTCAGATAGACGACACTGACAAGCTGCGGAAACAGAATGACGTACACAAGATCAGAACAGAGGTACCACAGCATGTAGATAGAATCCACCATGATGGCCATTATTGTTGCTAGGATACCCACTCCAAATATACCCACCCGCATCACATTCACAATCTCTTGTTCTGATGCCTGAAAAATCAAAATAATTTACGCATAAATACATACAATCCTAAGTTTTCATGTAACTCATAAAATTTTGTGAATAAGTATTCAGTTCAGTACTGCTGTCTTAAAATTCAAAGTGATTTTGGTAACCAAAACTCATATCTTATAACATTTGTAGTTTTACTATTACTAATACTGTAAAATCACTTATTTTCACAGATTCTAATTTTGATGGTTTGAGAAAAAAATTTTGGTTTGTGGGGATTAGATTTCATGTTTGAAGAAATGTCTCATTGTCTTGATTACACATTTTAACTATTTGTGAAGGACATGAATTCGTGGGTCTCTTCATACAATGAAAACAACGAATATTAAGCCCCCACAAAAATTTGTGATTTCACTGTATATTCTTTAGAAAGGTAACTAAGATATGCACCATTTATCATACACAAGCTCCTCATTTTGCTCTGCTAAAAACTACTGGGTCAAACAAAAAATTCTTTTTTCTTTTTGAAGCAACAAATTTTTTATATTTCTCTGTTACTTAAAACAAAATAATTTTCTTCCAAATGACCTTGACCTTGTCAAAAATATCTTGTATCATTGCTGTGTCAGATCTTGGGTCATATTCACATACCACAAAATGATGAACAAGAAAGTATAGCAATAGGTTACCTTAAAGACTCAGGCGACCAATTTATTTTTTTTCACATTTCATATTTTAAAATCATTTGAACTTTAGATGTGAACAACTAAACATGAGCACACATTTTTCTGCAGAATACTGCTTTTACCTGTTGTCTAAATAATAATTTGTAAATGTTTCTGGCAAACATGGAGCTGGCAGACAGAATGGAGGAGTCTGCTGATGACATCACAGCTGCAGACACCGCCCCCAGACCAAAGAATGCCACCCAGGTGGGCGTCAAATACTGCATTACCATAGGGAGGATCAGATTCATGTTCTCTGGGGGGATGGGGAACTCTCGATGATCCTTAAGGGTATAGTCAGTACTGTTCCAGTCTATAATGAAATTAAATTTGTACACAAAAATTAGAAGAGTGATAGTTTATCATTGAATACTGTACTTCAGAAACGAAAAACTAATTAAAAAGTCAAAACATTTAAACTCTATGCAAGTACAATTATGCTCCATATTTTGCTCAACAAGGATTCAGACCAAAATGTCATTCATGTCAATACAAAAAAAAAAAGTAAAAGTGCATAGATTTTCATTACTGTATACAGGGAAATTTTTGACCCCGTTTTATTTTCGCTTATAATTTTCTGTAGAAGAAGCAGTGTTATACCTGTAGTTGTTGCTATAGCACCAATCAGGACTGAGGGGATGGCCATCACAATACAGCCCACCCCTGCCACATAGGACAGGATTTTGGCATTGAATGCCGACTTGGCAGACAAAACTCTCTGGAAATAGACTTGCCAGGGGATTCCCCCAAAAATCAGCAGCAGCATGCCATCGATGTACACCCCCGTGTATTGAGAGTCAATGGATTTGATCCATAAGGAGGATGCATTAACAGCAATGTCTCCTACATGTTCGTTAGTCATGGCAAATGGAATGGTTATCCACTGGAAAAGACCAAATATTTACAGAACCAATACAAAATTGTACTAGAAAATGCATTCACATTTGAGTTTTCAAAGGCAACGCAGAAAGGAACTTATATATGCAGTAAAACTCACAGTGAAATCCTTGGGACCTTGCTATATCCATAATTCATTATATCCAAATAACAAATTCATTTAAGTAAACACATGTATGTAGTAAATTTGCAATATAGATATTTTCCTTCAAGTACTGTAGATTTCTTATTTTATACGAATACTTATTATTGCGAAATGGCCCTTAGATGTCAAATCGCGAGAACAATAATTTGCAAGTAGACGTTTGCTCTAGAGATTTTACAAGCATTTCAGCACTAAAAATAAAAGCAGGTAATTTTATTTCACGAGTGGTGCTTCTCGTGAAATTAGGTGATAATTAATTTCCTGCAAATATTTGGGAATCTACAGTCTGACTTAAATATATTCTGGGAATCCTTATATATAAAACTTATCTTGGAATACTAAAGATTTTGGATGAGTTGAATTTCAAATATAAATATTTTACAAAAAAATAATGCCAGATCAAAAATTAAATTTTACAACCTTTGAAAATTTGTTATAAAAGATGTAAATTTCATTATTCTTAATCTCTACAGGACACAATCAGTTCACTTTATCAGTAATCTTGCTGTATCAGTGTACATATAACTGTTCAATTTTACAAGGAAATGCTACTGGTAAGAACTTTGCAGGGGATCCAAAAAACTTTGCTATAGCTGTGAATAAGCTATATCTGTGTCTACACTAAATGTATTTACCTGTGATTTATATTAGTGTGAAGATATTTTTTGCCCATTTAAATTTCATTGTATTTGACTTCCTTTTTCTCCTCCCTTTAAACCCTAGATAATATGCCTTACCAGACCAAAGAATATACAGAAGAGCTGTACAACGTCTGTGTAGGCAACAGAATACAGTCCACCAAACAAGGTGTAGAATACGGCAATACAGGCAGACACAATAATGGACGTCTTTACATCACTGTCAATAATAACAGAGATCGTAGCACCTGAAACAATCAAATTACCATATACGTGGAATTTTAAGAGAGATGCAAATTTAGCGAGAAGTAATTTTAGCAATTTTATGGTGCATAGAAAGATAACAGTAACCTCTAATGCGGAATAAATTGTTAGCAATATTAAATTTTAGCGATATCTCAACATCCTCGCAAAAAATGCCAAATTGAATCCTCGCTAAAATTTCCGCCTTATGTACAGTAACGCTGGCATGGAACATTAACATCCAGACTTATTGCTTGAAGGTGTATATTGCATTTCATTCATCAAAAAATTTAAATTACTTTGTACAGAAAGGTAATAGCAGATGCTGAAATAAAACTGAAATTGTAAAATATTTTTGAAAAACATACTAGAATAAAAGAATTCATCTTCATGGACATTAATTTCAAAACTGCATGTATTTCATATTTTACCCACCAAGAGCAGCTAGAATGGCTGCTGTCCAAAACACCTCACCGAGGAGGGCAGGAATGTATAAGAGACCCCCCATCCTTTGTCCATACTTCTCTTGGAAGGGGTCCAGCATTGTCACATAACCCTCCGTTCTCATCTTCTCAGCAAAAAATAGACCACCTTTAAGAAATGGAGACAAGATGAAGTGTGTGGAATTTTGAAATGAGTACAAACACTTTCCATTTATAAAGAAATTTGCACTTCATTTTTATAACCTTTGAAATTTAATTGTTATTATTATATAAATAGTGCACGTTTTTGAGGGTAACAGTTGAAATTGACACCCCAAGGAAAACGATTGTCAACCGACGCGTCAGAGGAGGTTGACAATGGTTTTCCGAGGGGTGTCAATTTCAACTGTTACCCTCAAAAACGTGCACTATTTATTTTATTATACTGAATGTCTTATTGATTTTGGATGTCATTAAAAAATTCGGAGATCGTCGTTATCTTCACGCTTAGAAAGCTTTCAAACTCCCCGCTTCTATTTTTCTCAATAGGAAAGCTTAGTCGTAAAAGATTTACCAACCTCTTTATTATTTGTTTGCTACTCGAAAAGTCCTTTATCACCTAAAGTTTGCACTCGCAAGGTTGTTTCGTCTGTCGTTTGTCTTTTTCAAGTAAGCTACATCGGACGCAAGCTTTAATTGACGTCGTTTATTCGGCTTCTTTCAAACGCACAACCGACGTTTTGAGAATTCTACGGTGAACCGTACGCGCATGATTTGAACGCATGTGATATTTTCGTAATGTTTCCCGTTGTCAAGTGTGTTGCTAACGCTGAGGGTAATATTACGGATTGTTAAATGTGTTTAAACCAATCAGATTTTAGTATTTAACATGAAAGTATAATAACAGTAAATATGCTTAAGGCATATCTAGATTTACACATTTACTTACCAAACACTGAGCTTAAGGCACATTTAGATTTACACATTACTTAACAAACACTTAGCTTAAGGCATATCCAGATTTACACATTTACTTATCAAACACTAAGCTTAAAGCATATCCAGATTTACTTACCAAACACTAAGCTTAAGGCATATCCAGATTTACACATTACTTACCAAACACTAAGCTTAAAGCTTATCCAGATTTACTTACTTAACAATGAGCTTAAAGCATATCCAGATTTACTTACCAAACGCTATGCTTAAAGCATATCCAGATTTACACATTAAATACTAAATAATTGTGTCAATCTGGGTGTGCCTTAAGCTTGGTAAGTAAATGTGTAAATCTGGATAAGTACTTACCAAATACTAAGCTTAAGGCATATCCAGATTGACACATTTACTTACCAAACACTAATCTTTAGACAAACCCAGATTTACACATTTACTTACCAAACACTAAGCTTAAGGCATTTCCAGATTTACACATTACTTACCAAACACTAAGCTTAAGGCATTTCCAGATTTACACATTACTTACCAAACACTAAGCTTAAGGCATATCCAGATTGACACATTTACTTACCAAACACTAATCTTTAGGCATACCCAGATTTACACATTTACTTACCAAATACTAAGCTTAAGGCATTTCCAGATTTACACATTACTTAACAAACACCAAGCTTAAGGCATATCCAGATTGACACATTTACTTACCAAACACTAAGCTTAAAGCTTATCCAGATTTACTTACCAAACACTAAGCTAAAGGCATATCCAGATTTACTTACCAAACACTAAGCTTCAGGCATATCCAGATTTACACATTTACTTACCAAACACTATGCTTAAGGTCAAGATCTAGTAAATGAAATGTGCCTACAGATTTCTCAAATTTGAGAAATAAATTCCTTTAATGATGCTTTATAACCTTTGCTTGGTCAAATAAGGTGTTTCAGGGCATAATTTGTGGCCAAACAAGACGAAAAATCATATTTTAAACTGTCATTTTCAATGAAAAATTAAGAAAACCAGTCATGAATATGGGAGTTTTTTTCCATATCAGACAAAGGAAATGTATCCAGATTGCCTACAGTCTCTCAGAAAACCATGAAATAATATTAAACTGAATATAGGTACCAGGATTACTTTTCATAATGTTTCAAATTGAATTCCATGAAAATACTTTTATATTCTACATAATTCTATTAGAGCCATAAAGTACGGGAAAAAGAAATTGAAATAGTATGACGTCATAATGGATCTAGCACCAAAAAGAGAGTCGAAAGTCATTTACTAGATCTTGACCTTAAGGCATTTCCAGATTTACACATTACTTACCAAACACTAAGCTTAAGGCATATCCAGATTAACTTACCAAACACTAAGCTTAAGGCATATCCAGATTTACTTACCAAACACTATGCTTAAAGCATATCCAGATTTACACATTTACTAAACAAACACTAAGCTTAAGGCATATCCAGATTTAATACTTACCAAACACTAAGCTTAAGGCATATCCAGATTTACTTACCAAACACTATGCTTAAAGCATATCCAGATTTACACATTTACTAAACAAACACTAAGCTTAAGGCATATCCAGATCTACTTACCAAACACTTAGCTTAAGGAATATCCAGATTGACACATTACTTACCAAACACTAAGCTTAAGGCATATCCAAAAGGAGCTTGACACCACACCAGGCCATCCTTGAATATGTATTCAGCTGTTCCATTGATAAATCCCCCTCCTACCCATGTAGCTATTAAAACAAGTGACAAATGATAAAGCTTTTAAAAGATATTAAGTAATGGCTTAGGAACGTTTACTGTAAATTGGTTTTATTGGTTATTAATCCTGTCAGCTTAAGGGACTATTCTGTTCAGGAATTGTTTACAGTAAAAGAATTGGCCTGGATAAGTTATATTGTGGAGGTCTGATCATATTGCATTATTAAACCTTATAAAAATAGGTATTTATCAGAATTAGACTACTTTAAACTTAATAGTAATGTATTTATGCTGAAAGAGTGTGTTGATGTTTGTATGTAGTGATCAGTTTACAGCCACACCTTGTTAGGACTTGACAAACAAAAACACAAAAGAATCTTTCACTGCTTGTTTGAAATTACAACTTGACTGAAATGTATGCTACATCAAATATGTTTGTATTTAATGTTTTAATTATTCATTAGCAAATTACATCAGTATCTGGGACATAGTAATGCTAATATATAGAACACCTTTCCTATGGATTCAAAGTTATTCCATACTTCCTTCACCAAATCAATACATTAAACAAGAGGCCCTTTGGTTAAAAGAATGTTCTTTGTACCACATTGTTATAATCTTATGATAATTAATAATGCAATGAGAACAACTGATGTGTCCCCAATCTTAATATAGGGGTCATGATTTTACAATTTTAACTTTTAATAACTTATGCCTGCTTATTTTTTCTCATTGGACTGTTCCTAAAAAATGGACCTAAATGATTTCTTTTGAAATTTTACAAATACTGTGCAAAACTTTTGACATTATATTTTTCTCATCTTGGCTCTGAGGGGTATACTATGTTGCATACCCTGCCCGTCCTGATCTGCAGAACCATATATGTAACCCCCAACCCCCCCCCCCCCCCCCAACCCCCAACCCCTTCCACTGCTCAATGATCCCGAGTGCCAAGTATAGGTCTAAATTTACAGCCCTCCACTGACATGTGGTAGCGTCTCCATATAGGTGAAAAAGTCTCGAAAGGGACGTTAAACAAACAAACACTACTAACATTTTTAAAGTTATCTCCCTTTTGAAAAGGATATGTAAAGTTGACAATGGTGCATTTTGACAAATTGGTTGAAATGGATCTTGAGGCTATGGTGAAAATAAAACTAAAGGTTTATAAATGATGGCTGGCAGACAGATGCCAGGATTGATTTGAACAGTAAAAGCTTAATATGAGTTTTAAGCCCCTCAGTATAATAAGGGGTTGAGGGTAGGGTGCATGCAGCCTCTCTGCTGGATACACCCATGTTAATCTATTATCCCATATACTATTTATTTATTGCTTTAACAGTGTGCTGCAAAGGCATATTTAAACAGAAAATAGGGCATTATGAATTGTTATAACCAAGATACAGTAAAACTCGTTCAGTTACAAATATAGCAAATTTATGGATATAGTGAAGTTATTTTTGAATCTTCAGCAAAATTTTAAACAATTTTTTGTAAAATTTTAGTTATAGGAAACTAATTTTGAGTCCCGCAAAGGTTTAAAATAAAAATTTACATCATCTATAACGAATTTTCAAAGATCTCAAAAATAAAATTAAGCTGACATTATTTTTCACATGTATTCTTATCTACTATAATTCATCAGAAAATTTAATTATTCATGGTAAATTTTGTATTAAATACTTCCCTGGACATTCATTGATTGTACTCCAAGTTAGAAGAAAACATGTATATTTCAAATTCACTATATATACTTTTACGAATTTGTTATACAGATAATGAATTATATCTGTAGCAAAGTAAATTCTCAGGTCAAAAGAACTTTGCTATAACCAAGTTTTACTGTAGTAAATGCCTGAAGATACTTCAACTGAGAACTTTTTACTCTTGCAATTGAAGTTTATAAACTAAAGAAAGGCAAAGGATGGGAGTAAATAAAGTCATGATCTGGAATAATTTTCGAACTCCAGTTTTGATAACATTTGTGAAAATAAACTCCTTTTTCAGTCAATACCTCAAATAACATTGAACAGAGTACTTTTTTTTCTTTAAAACTAGACTGGACTCTAATATGATTAACGATTTTTATTTTTATTTTAGCTTGAATACGGATGTATATCTTCTAAGCCAATCTCATTACCAATATTAATTTCTATAATGACTTTCTTCAATAGAAATATTATCTTTTCAGTTGTAACAAAAGCTGGAAGAGAAATTAAAAAAAAAAGTCATTTCTTTATATATTACAAATAACAGAAGCAAAGCATATATTGATTTTTGAAATGGAAAAGTCTAGTAAAGAATCTTGATAAATCATATCTTTTTTTCTCCCTTCTTTTGACTCGAGTGACATTTTGGCTTCTAGTTCTACCATGAAGCCTGCATAAGCCATATATCCCCTTTCATAAGACAAGAATTTGACAGACCCTGATGTGTATGCTTTCATATAGGAGCAGCTGAAAATTCCCAACAAGTCTACAAGTCAGAACATTTGCTACAACCAATCATTTACAAATGATTGAATATTCTATATAGAATAATCAGTTAGTCCTTGGAAACAGGTTCTATCAATTTTGAAGGATGAGGCACTTAGTAAATGACTATATAAGACAAATCTCTGTATAGACTAGGAACATTTTTGTTGTGTTAGTTACTCAAACCCACTTGGTTTGACATGTCAATGCTACTATTTAGGCTTAAAACTATAAAATTTTAAGTGACATTCAGTATTATAAACAAAAATCTTTTTTATATTATTTTCCAGTATAGACATAAGAAACTTAGTAAATTTACACATTGTTGTTACATACAATATAGTGAGATAATGCCGCAGTAGTGGCCCTTCACTTTAAAGGAAGAAGAAGAAGAATACAGTGTACTGATATCAAGTGCTTTTACATACTTAATTAAATGGCAATTTTGTGTTTTGGACTATCTTTCTAAAGGCACAGATCATTTTTTAACCTAAAAATCAACAATTATACAGGATTGGTTTGTGTATCCTTTCAATTTGATATCTAAGATTAATAACATTACCATCATTACTGCAGTAGGTAAATCCCAGGAAATGGCCAGTGTCCTATAACCAATCATTTATAATATCTCATTACTTTACTAAAAGGACCTTTATATGGAGAATCATATTTCCAATTTAATACAACAGAGAAAATTCATGGCATGAAAATATGCTTTCATCCATTCTAAATATGAAAGTTACAAAGGAACATTCTGAATGTGCAGTCTATTTAGAAACTTGACATGTACTGCAAATCAATTGAATCTCACAAAAATTGAAGACTTGCCCAGTAATAACAAAACAAAGACTTAACTGACTGTTATTGGTTATGTATTGGAACTTATAGATCTACAAGTCAATCTTCTTATCATAAAACACTTTATTTCATTTGATGACAGTAAATATGACATCTATCAAGCCTAAACAAAAAGAAATGGATTCAGAGCACACACACAAACTGTTCGTGATAACCACAGCAAGAGAAAAATGTATCAGAACGAAGGTAGGCAATCTATAATTTTCAGTGGCTGAAATGAAAGAATATTGTACTGTATCAAAAGTATAGGGTCATAAAACCCAAAAATGTACTATACCAATAGTATAGGGTCATAAAACCCAAAAATGTACTATATCAATAGTATAGGGTCATAAAACCCGATCACTGAAGACATAGGAGCTAAAAAAGGCATTTTCTTTCTGATCCGAGCCTTACCAAAGTGCTGAACTAAGAGTAGACAACAGTGAGTCCATCAAATCTAAGATTTTCTCTCCAACCACCAGTCAAATCATGCAAGTTTCTAATGACATCTTAAATACAATAAAAAGAAAAACCCAAAGTCTTTTATGCTTAATTTATGCTCAGTTTGGTATTTTGTATTCATCTTTTGTGACATTAGCATTTGTAGAAGACAATTCAAGTTTGAAAGATAACACGGAATATTTATCAAACTCTTAATTTCTCATTTATGTGCAATCATGCAATGTCAGGTGGCAGGAAAGGGAATTGATTTTTCTGTCTATCAGTCTCTGTGCTGGCAGGCTGCACTCTGGCTATGAATGACATGCTATCTTTACCTCAACTCTCAAGAATCTACCATTAAATAAGAAAAATTATTGCTGTTTCATTTTCTGTTTAATTGCCTCATTTATGAGGTAAAAGGATTGGCTATGTGAAACTTTCCCCTCAGTATTGCAAGTCATCTTCTGACATCTCAGCAAGAAGAAAGACAATTTATTTTCTGATTTCATGCAAAATGCCTCTGATTTTTTTCATAGGCTTAAGGAAATTGCCCTTAGATTAGGTCATAATTTAGAGAAATGACATAAAAAAAAATCTGTTCCTCTACTATTGGTTGAATTAAACCGATGACTTCTTGCTCCAGAATGGGGGCATAAGGACATGATCGCATGTTATAATGTAAATCAGAAAAGATTTTACAGATTACTTAGGTGATTAGAACCACATTCCACATACTTCTGAGAAAATGCTTACCAAAAATTTGAATATATATATAGCAAGAAGATAAAATGTCAATTTGACTGAAATTTAAAAGATAGCAAATTTCAGTCTTAGAGGTGATTAACAAGAAGTTCGTGAGCCAGTGCTCACAAGTAATACCCCTGCTCTAATGTGAATATACACTAGCTCTCATGAATCCCATTATATGGCATACCTAAACAAAGAGTGTGCTAAAATTTCAAGCATTTGCTGAGAATCAAAAAATTAAAACTGTGAGAAAAATTGTTATGGACAAATTAACACACAAACAGACAGACAAACAAGGGTAAAACAGTATATCCCTCTCCTTCTGAGTGGGGGTATAATAAATGGAGACTTTATTTCCTCCACAGTAGCAGTTTTGCAACATAGATTAACAATTCGCTATGTATATCAAATGCAGTTTTTTAAAGTTTATTTAAATAAATTAATTAAATGTGTTTAATGTTTTGCATGAAATAAGATTTTCTGAAGAAAATGCTGAAAATTTGAATTTACAGTGTGCATGATGTACGCGTACGTCGATTTAAATGATGACTGATTCATAATTAAACATAAAATAACTTACATGTATATTCTATATGCTATAGTCATCATCATATGGGATCTTCTCCAGAGAGAGAGGGAACTATAGTCTTGTACCGACCAGAATTTTGGCCAATATCACTTACAGCAGAGCAATAACTACAAGGACTGATAATGAACTATCCCGGGGATTTATCAGCCTTTTTTGAGAAATGCCATTTTTTTTAAATTTGGAAAATTCATCACATGTATAACATTTTCCTTCTAATTAATTTAGATGGTAAGTAATATGATTTTATTGAAGTCATATATGGCATATTTTTTATAAGTTCAGACTAACTAAAATTAAAAAAGATCTTTCTATTTGTTTTATTACTTTATATAAAGATAGGACTTTCCTGTAAATAACACAATTTAAATCAATCATGTTTCAAAGATATTAGAAATTTAAAACAATAACCAATTTATTTCCCGACTCTGCATTTAATTAACAGACACAGTTTAAAATCAATTTAACTATGGAAACATGAGGTTATTCAAGTTCAAAATCAGTGAAAATTTTAATTTGAATGAAAATAGCATATATCATGTTTATCTACACTCTATCTCATATTTTTATTTTTTAGCTCTGACAGATACCCCATATATAGCTTTAATGTAAATTAAAAGATGTCAGGTGACTTAATTAAACTCATCTCTCTTTCTATCTTCAGAGGCTGGTGAAGTTTTAATGCAGCTATGTTACAGAAGGCTGTCTGATGACTTGACATGCATTAGAAATATACTATTGTATTTTGAGCTTTGTTTTGATTTCAATTTGTAATCTATCTATACATGTATAGTCAATTTGTAAAGAGAGTTTAATGAGGTATGTATTATAAAAAGCATTTTCGCGATGTCACATGACTGTTTTGATCATGTGACGGACACTTATAAATATTCTTAAAAATGTTGAACAAAAACTGCATCGACACAATCGAAAAACAAAATTTTTGTGAAAGGTTTGTTACATAAATCAATTAAACATATTCTTGGGTATATATAAAGTGCAGGGAGCAAGTCTGAATTTTACTTCTTTAGAAAATATTTTACGAGAAATTCAATTAACTTACAAACATACAAGGGGGCATTTTCCACTCTTCATCTCAATTTATACATATTTGGATACATTACATAAAATCCCCCAACAAAATTCAGTTAGAGAATATAATTCTCTAGTAGATCCGCACAAAATATCTTCAATGTATTCTTATTATTCAATTGTGCCAGTCTAATATATACACGATTTATAAATCCTAATTCTGTCTACAGACATGTAAGGGACAGCATTTCACATTTAGTTTTTTGTTATTGTTTGAATACATAAATATCAGACAAGAGAAAGAAATAATAATATTATATTGCAAATATGCAGCATCATAACAGCATATTGAAGCTAAAAACAACAATCCAAACATCAGAATTAAACATCAATGTAAAAAATTTACATGTCATGTGAAAGGATTGTAAAAGTTATGACACTTTCCCTGTCATGTCTCCTCAAGTTTGCAGTGACTTTATGTCATATGCTATTATGACATCATATCTAGGTAGTTCAGAGAAGTTACTACGGCTGGTACACTGTGACATTTCTTCGGACAGTCTTATCCTAGCTGCGAAGCTACATGACAACTCCATAATCTAATTTTTAAAAAAATTATATGTTCACTATTTTATTTTGGGAATTTCCCAACAAATTGCGAAAAATTGAGCCTATTTTCCATTGGGAAATAGGGACAAAATTACAGCCCCTGAGAAGGTACTGATAAATCCCTGTATTCATATTGACCCCAAGCTCTCCCGTATCAGGAGGTAATTTAAGTGACTCAAGAGCTTCTACATCCTATAATTCTTTGCCAAATCTACATTACTTTGGTGGCCCCTGTCACACTGGGTTATCAACTGGGGTTAAATAGCTCCATTAATGAATGTATACATCTCAACTCAAGAAGGCCAGAAATGAACATTAAATTCAATCCACAAACTGAAATGTCCCTTATAATCTATTAAGGGGACACAATCATCTGGAAGACTGGCAGAAAAAAGAACATTTATTGATTTGGCTGGCATCTTAGTTAATGAGGTAAGATAGAACAGCTACAATTTAGTTGGAAGAAAATGGCTATCTGTTGCAAGTCATATTCCTGTCCAGATTCCCAATTTCAGACCCATATCTACTCCAAAATTATACATTGTTGCATGTCTACATAGTCCAAAAGATCGATTCCTTCTTCCTAATTAGTTATCAAACCACTGATTGTCCTACAAAATTCAATAACCAAATTGGCGCTGTTTATCCTCTAACATATTACTCTTTGGATAGTACTACTTTTGAATGATGAATTTTTTTTTTAACCCCAAGAAAGACATAACCCATAAAATACTACTGACTTGAAATATCAACTACAAAGAGAAATTTCATATAAAGTCTACAAAATCTAAGGCCATTTCAAGTTTTTTTTTTATGTTTATCATCCATGAGTGGATTGGCTTTGAGGTAATGAAAGTGAAAACACACACACATACTAAAAAATCCTCAGATACATATTTTGCAACACATTTTACTCTACTGGGATTGGCATCTCATTTTTTTTACATTCTTTTTTAAGTTTTACCAAAGATGCAAAATTTTATTTGTGTTTTTTACCAGTTGGTTTGTGTGTTTTTCCAGGATGGAAAGACAAGGGTTTTGATTTTAAGGTGGTGGCTATAATCATAATAAAAACTTGGCATGGCCAAATTTAGAACACGTACATCTCTATAACTGAACATGGATCCTTCTTGTAGAATGAAATGATTTTGTTGTACTGATAAACTATTTACACCATCTTGGTCTACATGATCTATGCTACATTTTAGAAAGTTAAATATTGATTTTTTCCCCGCCTGCCCAATAATATTTTTTAATTAGTTAACAAAATCTCCTAAAGCATAACTGTGTCAAACACGCAGACATCTGAGAAACAAGAAGTTAATTAGATCTTTATTTCAGCTGATAGACCTCGATCCTTAAATAAAGTGTCACAAAAGCAAAGGGAATTCATAACAAGCCTTCACGTTCTTCTCTCTCTTGGGAGTTTTTTCCCTGAAGGAGAATATTGTACGATCACTGATAATTATGACTCCAAATGTGTTGATTCTCTGATTAACTATTCATTGTAACATTTTGCTGTAGATTCTCTGCTTTGATCTAATCCTAGTTGTTTGAAATTACTAAATTCTCATCTTTACATAGAACTTACAGGAATCCCTTCACTGAAATTATGCCAACACATCTGAAACTGGAAATCATTGAAGAAGAAGGTTTTTTGATAGGAAAATCTATTCACAGTGGGAATAAAAAAATTAATTAGTGTCATTAGTGTGCCTTGGAAGAACTTGACAAATTGTAAAGTTCCCTTTTTCCGACATTAAGCATTTTTATTTGACAATAAAAGCTTCTTTTGCACAATTATGGTTGATTTTCCACCACAAAATTGCATTTTATGACAGCTGAAGATATTTCTTGGAGAAAAAAAAAACCCAGAAAATATTCAACACACATAAAAGAAGATAAATTGATATGCTTGAGAGTCCCATAGCTATATACGTTGATCTAAAGAATATGACTGATGTGGAAAATTGATCCATATGTATTAAATGAAGACTTAATCCTTTTGACACTGTCACGCCTTAGGATTTTCTGAGCTAAAGCAACGAGTTAATCCATTTATCATAATTTTCCCTTTCTAATTCTGCAAATCACATATTTTTCACTTTTGAATCTTGATAAAAAGAATGAAAATTTGAAATAGGGGTGGTCTCAATAGTTCAGGCAAGATCGTAGGCAGCCTGGGGAAAATGCAAAAAGTTGATGCAGGTTAAGTATAGATATTGATGTAAATAGAGATAGTGAAAATTTGAAATTTAAATTATACATTATCATTTCCAGGCCTAAATTGAACCTTTTTGTTTACAGTATAAATGTACCCTTTCAAATGGGAATTTTAAATTGAAAATTAGTGGCAAGATTTGGAAATATTGATGTTGGACTTATATTAATTATGTCTTCATGTAGAACAAAGACAGTTAATTGTAGGCCTATCCTCTATTAACATCCTTAAGAACCATTAAAATCTCAAATTTCATAATATTCTTTAATTGAAAAAAAAAAAATTAATCTGGTTGTCATTTTTTACCTTAAATGTGTGGGGAAAAAAAAATTAATCTGGTTGTCAATTTTTACCTTAAATGTGTGGAAATAAAAACAGTCGATTTTCAGTTGGGACTGGGTTCTTTTACTGGACCTGCATGCAATGATTATCAAGCCCTCATTTCTCTAACTTAACTCTATGCAAAAATAAAGCCTCGGAGTTTTGAGGACCACTACTCAGAACAATAAAGGACACAAAAAAAAGATGTATGGGACATGGCCCTCTAAAGATAATATGGTTCATTTTTTATCTTGCTGCAAACTAAATTGATTTCATTCAATTGGATAACTTAGTTTCAATAAATTGATTTCATTCAATTGGATAACTTAGTTTCATGCAACATCATTTAAAACTCCTTTTTTCATTTCTTGCTCAACATGTCTTTGAATAAGGTTATTAACTAATTATTTATACCTATCATAACCCACCTGTCATGGTAAAGACCCCCACTAGAACCCCAATGTTCCTCCCCGCCAGCATCACATTCTCACTGTCTGTTTCCCCTCGGGATTTTCGAGCTGCCCAGAGTCCCACCCCTAGGATTAAGATGTAGAAGATGATGACTGCTACGACTCCCACCACGTGGACCCCCATAATTGTCTGGGAGGAGTTTCTTCAAGTGTCCAGTCAGCTCTGCCAGAAGGGGGACAATGGCCAAGTCCAGTAGGCTATGGAGGAATTCTGGGAAGAATTGTAAGTGCCAGACTTTAAGTTATATGTAGCATGAAATTGGTATTTTAAGTAAATTAATATTATTTTTACTTTCTTACTACTAAATAAAAAGTTTTCAATGTTATAGATAAGATTTTTCTCTGCAGAAATTTTACTTTGGAGTTGTATACTATAAAATATTTACTCATTTACTTGCAGTGTAAAACTTTTTATTAATATTTAGTCCCCATGAAATCATACTTGGTATGAAACCATGAAATTTTATACCAGTTTTAAGAAGATATCTTTTGCCATAGTATAATACATTAAGACGTTTATAAAAATTGATTGCAAAGAAATTTAAGGAAGGATTAATATCGAAGATTCATTGTAAACAAATTTTCCGTTTCATGTGAAGGAAGTTTTGGTGGGCAATGCTCAAGTATATAAAAAGAAAAGATGCCTTCCAAAAGGAATTTAAAAAGACAATATTTATGTATGTGTTCAAACGGCAAAATTCTGAAAGATAGAAAGTCTACAATGAAGGCTTTAAATATAGATCAACTTGATATAAACTCTTTTATTAAATTTAACCTCTACTGATTTTTCCCTACATAAAATTAGAGTGTTAGATGTGAACAATTCCCTAGAAATCACTGTTTTGCCATGCTTTACTTAGTAAACTAATCCCTGCTTCAAAGTTTATATCAGTATAATAAAACAGTTCAAAAGTATATCATTGAGGGAGTTAGTAAAATTCCAGTTCCCCTCAACCAGCGGACCTTTTCACAAAATATCTTATGACTAAGACAAACATTTTCCAATTCTCTATACAGCACCTCAGCTAAAATAGGTTGCAGAAAATCTTAAATTTAAGTTCTACAACATTGGGATATATATTATTGATAATCCTTTATAAAAATTTGATTTATTCATTAAGCAAAGAAATTGTGCACAATTGTCAAATTTTAATCTTAGTAGCAAGATTTTTCTTGAAAAGGTCTGAGGAATTTTTCCCTCAGCTTCGCCTCAGGCAATAGTCCTGGTCTTGGAACACTAACTCCCTCAATAATATACTTTAACTGCATATCAACACTTAAAACCCTGTGCTGTGTTTACCAGTGTTTTTGTAACAATTCATTTCATTTAAAAAAAGGTAATTAAAGAAATTTCTTGTCGACTAAGTCTCCTTGGAGTACAAATCTATATTGGAAAACTATTTCAAGTGTTTAAACTCCCTCAATAATTGATGTGGAAGAAGCACTATTTACAATTCAATCTAATTAACTTATAGAGTGCGATCTCTGACGACCAGACAGGTACATCGATTCTCAATACGGACTTTTTTTGGATCAGCCTTTATACTCACCACCTTATGCAGTCTTTCTGCAGGGATCTGAATTTTTATGTCTCCATGATGCTTCTGTGTGTATTCTTGTTATGGTCCAAGGAAAAGGAAAAGCAACTGTAAACCTGAATTAAAAAAAACCCCAAAAATTCACTCTAGATTTTCTGCAAGAAATAATTTGCATCATATTGTGTTGTTTTGGGATGAAAAATAATTTTCCTTTGATCAGCAATTAGAAGCCTTACAAATAGTTTACATCAAAGAGGATCAAGTCTTAGAAATGAGATTTTTAACACTACAAACACACCAATGGCTTCTTCTAAAGATAAAAAGAAAGAATTAATTGTCAAACTTACAGATTTCAACTCCATAATGTATTGTAGTTATTCACCTATAAGTAGGTCCGCCTATAGGTCAGTTGTATTTTTTTTTTAGCTTATATTGTCAATTGAGCGATTTCCCATTGAATCGCAATTATAAGTCAGACTATACAACTTTTTGTTGGAATCGGTTGACAATTTCGAGTCAATGTTCTAATGTTTTAACCTATGTTTCCAATATTATATTTGAGAAATGACGCCAAAATTTTACAATTACGAGGTGCCCAATGTCCAAGCCATATTTGCTGTTTCTAATTTATAAACATTACACTTAATCTATTGGCAATTATCATGATTAAAGCATAACTACAAATCATGTTCAAGGACACTCTCTACCCTCGGCTCATACATTCACTTCTGTCGTTGGCTCGCGTATATCACAGTGATAAGCACGAGAAATAGTGCGTTTCTTTTAATTCATTATAATTAAATGTCTGGGGGTAATGATAGTCCTTAAAGATAGATATTTACTAAATAGATATAAAACTATAAGTTTAATTTGAAATAATCCTTGAATTGTTATGTTTTTAACGTTATGTCAGGTGTCTGAGAGAAGAACGAACGACAACTCTGCATAGGAGATTGGTTCAAGGAAGTATTAAACACAAATTTATCTGACCTTTAAGTATGAAGGATTTTTGACGTGTGTTTTGAAAAAATAACAGAACTTATCATTGAATATCTAGTACAGTTTTTGGTAGACAATCTATTTTTACAGTGTGCCACTAACAGTGTATTTTCAATACAAGTTCTTTAGTCGGACACAGAGACACATGTCTGATATTCTGCCAAATCTTCTTTATATTGAAAGTTTTCCAATTTTCGGATAAATCCGTACTGCTTGACAGAAATCAACCAAAATGGACTTTAATTTGGTTCCTTATCTGGATTTGTGGGCAATCTAACATCCACTGCTCTTTCTAAATCTTGAGACAATTTAATTACCATGCTTGATCAATCTTGAATCCAATTGCTACAGCACTCCCAAGATGAGGGCAATTTTTAAAACTCTTTTGAGGAAAAAAGACAACTTAGATGGCTCCTATACGCTGTGAATTGATTTCCTGTGTTTGTAGGGCTCATTACAGCGGTTCCTTTCTAAGATGGACTAACACAGGAAGGCATTTTGTGTAGCAAGTGTAAACAAATGACTAGCATTTCCTCCACTCCAATTGATTAAATGGAGGAGGTTTCATTCTCGAAACAAGATTTTGAACAAACAATAAAAACTCCCAAGTTTGAGTATGACCGATGGGTATTGGATATGTTTTGTGTTATGGCACAATTCAGAACATGTAAACCAAGAGAATGCGATGGTCAATGATACTTACAATATCTTAATACCCATCCAAGTGCCAATATTGTAGAATAAAAAAATCTTAACAAATATTTGAATTTTTTTAATTTATTAATGTATGTGCTGGGTGGCCACGGCACCTATAGTTATGTAAAAATTTAACACAATTAAGAACATGTAAACAATGGTCAATGATACACTATCTTAAATCCTACAGTCAAGTGCCAATATTTTAGAATTAAAAAAAATCTTATCAATATTTGATTTTTTTTCAAAATATGTAATATGAATAAAAAACTAATTGGAGCATTACTTATAATAGTTGAATCAGGAATTTCCATTACCCGTACTTTACAACCGACTGTATTAATCAGAAAAAAAAAGACCCAAGGAAAGTTCCTGATCCCCTCAATAGGCATACTTACAAATGCAAACATATTACTCTAGTGTTACACCTATAAACTTTGAAATCTATTTGCTTCTCCTCTGGTAACTTATAAGAATTTTTTTGTAAGCCTGATAGTAAAAGGTTAAATAATATACTCTTTACATCACTTCCTCAAAATATCAACTCTATTAATGGTCTCAACCTCTAATCTATAGACATTAAAAACAGCACGCTTCCTAAGGCTTAGTAGCTGGGAACTCCGTCATAAGGGGAGAACAGACAGGTAAAAAAGATCCCATATCCTATACAGTGCAACAATATTGTATGAATTATATATTAGTAACTTAAATAGACCTCCTTTATTCATTTCTCTTAAAAATCATCATTTTATGTGAATTTTGAGGAAGAAGAGTCTATTTAAACATATCAGGGGCAGATCTAGAGGTGGGTTTGGGGGGATTTCAGAATTATTAAGTTTCTATGTTCTAAAAGGGTCCGTTGGGCAAGTTGTTTACGTTTTTTATGCTTAATTGTCCAAAAATTTCTGAGTAAGATGTTTGTTACTGATGATGTGAACCCCCCTTGAAAAAAATCCTGGATCTGCTTCTATGATTCCCCGCCAATATAAATATAGAATATATATGGAAATGTGTATGAAGACCACAAGTTGAGATGCCATCAAAAGCATTAATTAATTAATTAGTGTTCAAACTGATTAGATCTGAGGTACATACTTTTTTAGTAAATAGTATAGTTTCATCAATTTTTGTGGAGATTCTGGCAAAAATACAATTTTATTAATGTGTAAATTTATGGACATCGACCTTGTCCTATAATGGGTCAAATATGTAATTCTTTGATCACCTAAAAGATCTAGCTCAACCATGAAAACTGTGAAAATTGGTTTTTAGCAAAAAATTATGAAACTTTAGTACCTCTTACCGCGTAGAACCTAAGAGTATCACATCTTTAATAAATTAAATAGTTATTTGCTTTTTACTGATATGTTTAATACTTTTGAGTCTCAAATCTCTTAGCTATAGATCTGTAGCTCACTGGTCTGAAAAAATTGGGATGGACGACCAGAGAGCTGCAGTGCCACCCATTGTCAAAAGTGTATATTTATTGCACACAAAAAAGTGTGCTGTTTCTTGATATTTTTTTTTTTACCATATATTTCAAAATATTAGAAACCGTGTGTTTCTAACATATTCTTTTACTATTTCCACAACAAAACTGCATGCACAAGTCGTGCACGAAGCACAATGGAGTGAATTATCTTGCCACCTAATATGGCAGTATAAATCTAGGCAAAATTTTCGGTGGTCTCATTTCAGGCTCAGAAGGGCTATTAACAATGGTTTAGGGAAATGATTTGTTGTGGTAGTAAAAGAATATGCTAGGAACACACGGTTAGTAAAATTCTGAGATGGCAGCATAAATAAATGGAGAAATAAATCGAGAATATGGCACACTTTTTTTGAGCGCAATAAATATACACTTTTTTCAATGTGTGGCACTGTAGCTCTCTGGTCGTTCATCCCAATTTTTTTTCAGACCAGGGAGCTACAGATTTGATACTACAAATCTCTAAGCAACAATTTTAATAATAAACTTTTAAGTTTTCTTCCATCCTGTCAAATTTTACTCTAAATATATATTTGCTAATTACTGTGGAAAATTCAATTAAACGCATTAATTTAAGTTATAGAAATGTCAGCACAGCTACTATATAGCCATTGTTATTGTTTGGAAAATGATTAAAACTCTGGAATTAATTTTAACGACATGCCATACTGGTTATATCATTTCAAACAGAAAATTGTAAAATTTATGAATCTATTTAAAAAAATCAAGAATAATATGATAACACTTAAACTTTACAGTGAGATTGCAGTTTTTAACAGTGAAGAATTTAATTTTTTTTTACCTTGTTACAACTGTGAATGCTCCATGGAAATGATCTTGCCACTGCCCGAATTGATAGGACCAGCACAGAATTCCAATACTGGGGGAACAGAATTCCAATACTGGAGGAATATTAAAGTCTCCTTAACACCCACATCTATAGTGTCCAAAAAAGTTTACTCTCAATTTTTTTTAACTGTAAATTTAAACACAATTTTTTTTTTCAAAGTTTTGCCATGTGCCCTGAAATTTAACAAGAAGAGATGGACCAAAAGAAGTGACACAGAGAAATCAATTTTTGCTCATAAACTGCATAGGTCCTCCATAGACCAAAATTATGCTAATCAATAAAGAACTCCTAGGAGAAAACTAGATCAATTCCTGATTGATAGATTTCATGTGTGAATTGACAGAAATTGCTGGATTTAAGACATCCACTGAAAAGACTGTCCACATGTAAAACAATTATTATCTGAATTCTTACACAGCATGCAACTATTGGAAGGTAATTATTGATTGTGAAAAATGTTCAATATCCTAATTATCTTATATTTCAGCATACATAACTTCACTGGGGCCACCTTTACACAAAGCTTTCTTATTTTTACTTAGAACTCTTTAGAAATAACATTAACATAGATTTTAGATTAGCTGAAAATCAATTTTCTATTCTTGGAAAATATTTCTGTATGTAATCATTCTACAATGACACCCCCTCAATTTAAACATCTATATAAGGACCTTGATTAGTATCCACCTTTTTTTATTTCATTAATTTTTCTTTTTGGGGCCTCACTTTTACGTCACAATAAAACAGATGCCGAATCTTCCCACAACATCGATCTGCCGATTTAGTTCTGATCAATGAATCTTGGAAAAGTTGAAAAACGTAATAGCTGCCCAGGTACAATTGCCATAATTGAAAAGCATACAACTTGAAAAACTTCAAAAACAATTTTTTTAAAAAATGAAGTAATTTGTCACCACCTACATTCAGAATGTAAACAAAGGAAAGATTTTTGAAATTTAAAAAGAACTTGGTCCAATTTTGGCCTTGACACAAGGTTAACAGTTTTCTAAATTTTCTTATTTTTGTATCACTAATGCACTGGTAAAGTTGAGTCTATAAAATATTTGTATTTGTAAAGCAATCCATCTCTCTGATTTTCTATTCCGTTAAACAAGTAAAATTCAGATGTATTACACATCATGTTCCAAATGCCAAATATTCATGGACTGAAAGGATATAAATAGAATATAATATATATGGGGTTAGATAATATGATTTTTTATCCAACGAGTTGTGTGTTTTTATTCCCAAGCCTTGGCAAGGGGATATAAAACATATAAATTGGATAAAAAATTATATCTTAACACAAACCATTGGAGATTCTTTTTAATACACGTTTTACACATAGCTATTTCATGTTTTGCACTTTTTTTTATATTATGTAAATCGATCCACAATAAATACATGTACCATTGTGAGTAACAACTGAAGGTATGAAAATGATATTCTATGAGCTATATCCACTGCATAAAGGAGTAAACATGTGATAAGTATAAATATTTTGTCAATACATGCACTATTTTATTTTTTAAATTTTTAATATTATCTATTATTGAAATCCTTTTCAAATTTGTTTGCAGTTTTAAGTACAATTAATAAGAACAAACTAGCCAGGGGTTCTTTAATATTAATGTCTTTCAATAACAAATCAGTTTAAATCTGTTAATATTCTTTTAATATTCTAAAATGTTAAAATTTAATAAATTGTTTCAAACAATAAAAATTCAGGAACATTGCACAGATTGAAAAACAAATAATGATGCTTATGAATTCTGATATAAGAAACTGGAAATATTTTCAATACCTCTGTTTTTACCTCCTGAGTCAGACCACCACATTGTCTGTAGAAGCCAATAGTCCCCCCCACATAAGACCTGATAATTGTATATTATCAGACTCTATAACCAATAGTTCAATACTTCTATCTTGGGATTACCATAGAAACCAAGCCGTTCTGCTAGAAATTCTCTGACAATTTAATCTTATAACTCTGCTTCCAAGCTTTACGGGGAAACCTTTCAGCCCTAAAAATGGCAATTTTGAAGTACAAATTAAATCATTTATTCTTGAGAAGATTTACACGAAATTCATTAAAGATACAAAATGTCCCAATCACATAAAGCTTTTAGATATAGTACCGAGCTAATAAAACAATGCTCTAGAGATCTGAACCCTGTGTTTCTATTCTTGTTCAAGGGTTAACTTATTTAATCAATCATCCATTCATAAACGAGGCCAACAATATATCTACAAATAATCTGATGTAATGGAATAAAGGGAAAACAATTATGGTATTTGTGTCAGCATCACTAAAAATTTACAGGATTTTCAAGCCTGCATACATGACACAACTTTCTTTACACTTAAGATGGCCAGGGTTTGAGACCTGAGAAATGAGTTAACACTTGATGAACATGACAAGAAATTTTTAAAGACAATAATGCAACGACAATTGTTGTAATCACTCCTAAATTACCTGCTCAAATGAGTCAGAAGCAGCCCTTGTAAATTAACAAAATCATGGTTTGCGGTAAAATTCAATATTAAACAGCTTATCATTATTCGAATTTCAAGATGAAATGTTAAGGTCAACTTCAGATGAATTGTCAAGGCCAAGGTCAATTTACGATGAAATGTGAAGGCAAAGGTCAATTTCAGATGAGATGTCAAGGCCAAGGTCAATTTCAGATCAAATATCAAGGGTTAGGTCAATTCCAGTTCAAATCTCAAGACATAGGTCAATTTCAGTTCAAATGTCAAGGCATAGGTCAATTTCAGATCACATGTTAAGGGTAAGGTCAATTTCAGAACACATGCTAAGGGTAATGTCAACTTAAGAAGAAATGTGAAGGCTTAAGTCAATTTCAGATGAAATATGAAGGCCAAGGTCAATTTCAGATCACATGCAGTATCTTTCATTAGCATTAGTTTAAACTAAAAGCTGATGACTATAGAAGGTCCTCTACAAAAAGTGTTTAATTTACTAAGAAATATAATATCAAGGTAATGGTTTGTTTGTTTGTTGTTTAATGTCCCTCTCGAGAAATTTTCACTGATATAAAGACGTCCCCATATACCGGTGAAGGGCTTCAAATTTAGACCTTTACTCGGCACTCAGGGCCATTCAGCAGTGAGGGTTCTTTATCGTGCCAACGCCTACTGTGACATGGGGCCTTGGTTTTTAAGGTCTCATCCAAAGAACCAGCAACTTTCACTTCAAAGTGCCGAGTGCTTCGTGAAGGAACAGTTGCTACTTATTTTTTATCGATTTAGGTCAGTTGCAGCCTTGATTCGAACGCACGACCTTCCGATCACGGAGTGAGTGCTCAACCAACTAAGCCACCATGACGGCGAGAAAAGTGTTTAATTTACTAAGAAATAAATATCAAGATAATGTTAACCTTCAATGCTGACACAAGGACTTCAGTCCTCTCCTCCTTCTTCACCATGTAAAGTTTGATAAGGAAATCATATTAGGCTTTGCTCAGGCCCTCTTTAAAATAAGGTTTGTTTGCCCTCTCCTGACTCAGGATAAAAAAAAATGGTGGGAAAATTTTTTTTTCCTAGAAAAGTTCAACAAACATATTGACAGGATGAGAAAATTCAGGAATAGAAAGAAACAAGAGGCCCAAGGTCTTAACAGTCACCTGAGTATAATACAACAATTTAAAGGACCCATAGAGTATAAAATGAACTGAAAGGTGAAGCTTTGTTGCCCAAAAGCAAGACAAATACAGTACCAACCAGACCCAACCTGACACAAAGCAGTCCCAGAGCAGTCCCGGGGACTGCTTTCTGGGACTGCTCTGGGACTGCTAAAGTCCCAGAGCAGTCCCACAGCGGTCCCAGAAAGCAGTCCCAGCAGTCCCAGTGGGTGGGGTTAATTAATTTAATGGGCGGAGCTTACTCAGAAATGAGATTACCAATAAACAATGTAACTATAAAAGGCAGTTGAAATTGATGATCCATTTCTTTCTGAGCAGTATCAATTCTCATGCGATAGTCATTCTTTAACTGTTAAGAAAATCACACTACGCGTATAGAAACAAATAATAAATATTGAACAAAGAAGACATTCACACCTATAAATAACATGAATATTTAAACACAGTTTTGTGGTATATTAATTTTTCACCAAAATAAATCAATTTCTAAATTACTGTGATTGATATTGGTTTCCATATTTATTTATTTTTTTTGTAGATAATTAAGCTTGAGTTATTTATTTTCTATCAAAACTAGCTTTAAATAGGCCTTATAATTATAGAGCAAGGCCAATTTCCATACTATACTCTGAATGCAGTCTTCTTAAGTATTGGAGCTTTTGAAAAATTCTTTGTATATTATATTTCAGTCATGATTATTTTCACTGACTTGCCAATTTAATTATCGTTAAATTATCTATGTAACAGAAAACAATAATACTTTTATTATATAAACGTTTGAGTGTACATCTGTAAATCACGCGAATGGAACCCTCAGATTATATTCAAAATTAATTAATCCCTAAATAAATTTATACACATTTATTGAAACCAAGATTTTTTGCAGTACATAGATTGAAATTAGTGTCAATGTTGACCAGCATGTTCAGTGATGTGTAACACTGATACCCAAATAACATGCATTGACTCTGCTAATCATGCCCGAAGGCGATTGAAACTTCAGGTGTTGGCACCATTTTATACATTGTATTGCTTTTTATTAATCGGCCAGGAAAACACAAACAAAACAAATAAGAAATAAGTCACAATTCCCAATATTTTAAAATGTTTATAAATTTTCTCTTTTAATTACTTGTTTATAAATCAAAAACAAATTCATAAATAAATCTCCCAATAATTGTTCACAAATATAATGTTTTAAATGACTGAAGAATGGTAGAATAATTTTATTTCATGGTCATTTAATAAATTATTAGGTTTTATTTGAGGGCGGTAAAAAAGCATGCATATGGTTTTAGCATGCATATGGTTTTAGCTTTTTCAGTTAAAAAAAAAATCCAGTACAGTACGTCCCTCTGAATGTCTTATTGTAATGACAAGTTTGTTTGTTTTGTTTTTTGTTTGTTTGTTTGTTTTTAAATAGTGCTAATGCAAACTTTGAGTACATTCCGTAACTTGACAGCATTAATTCATTAAATAGGCCTCAATATTTTTTTTTCAAACACCTGTATTAAAGTTTTAATTGGCATTAATTAATTAAATAGGCCTAGACATATTTTTTTTCAAACACCTGTATTAAAGTTTAATTTAAAGGATAAAAGTCATCTCCTGACTTCCCTTTTAACTACTTTCATTTTTTAAAATTAATTCTAGACTACAATTGTGTAAATTTAGAGCCCCTGAAGACATTTAGTAATTACATGTATATCTATCTCTAC